ATGCCAGGGTCACCTTCACCAGGAAAAATAAATCCCTGGTGGCTCTCTAACACTACCCATAAGACCTCTCTCCCTTTGAGAGGCGGTGAGTGGGTGTCAACCTAATGTTTATACTGTCTGCTCACGGTTATGTAAGCCATTTTGTCCTCTTTCTCTTCCTCTACATCTCCCTCAGCTTGTTTAAACTAATCTACCTTTACCTTTCCAACATGCCAAGTTGTGTGTTACATAAATATTCTTTGAACTGGTCTAGCTTAAGGTTTTTCAGCATGCCAAGGTGTGTATTACATAAATATTGTAGGCCAGACTGTAGAGAGGTACTATACCGTAGAAGCTGTGTGTGTTTTTTTTTTTTTTTCCTTTTGCAGAGTCAAGGATGCTTCTCTTTCATGAGGGCAGGTTCAGGGAGGCTATGGTACTTGTCTGAACTATCCCTGTGATAACAGCCTCTAGAATGAACAAGTCAGTGTGTCTACTCAAAAACACGCACAAACACACACACACACAAATTTATCTTACAGTGGGCGGATGGCTCTACAGCAGTGTAAATACAGTAAAGTACACAAGTGTGTATGTGTTGTGGCAGACAGTGTTACATGCATGATGAGGACATTGTCTTTCTATAGAACAGAGCTCTCCCTGTCAGCTGCTTGTTTACTGTCATGCTAATGTACTTATGTGGGTCACCGGGTTCATTCTTACCACGTGGGCCCTGCTGTCGTCTATCATACAGCCGTCTCACGGCCCATTATTCACCCATAATGATGTTATCTTTATAACCTCAGAATAACTACAGCCCCCTTGACTTCCTTTGTGTCTCTAATTTGTCCGTTTTCTTCGACTTCATGCTCCGTTTCCATGGCAGCTAATTGTTCTAGCTGTGCCAAGCTCTGATGACTTCTGACCTTTTCTTGTGACCCATTTTGACCTGTTTATGGTTAATATAACAATGAACTGAGGCCCTCAAGTCTCTGCTGTGATTATCAAGTACAATATTTCCGGATTCAGATAAATCTTTGGCTATCCTTTCTGGTCTTAGCTGATTTAGCATTCCTTCCACAGCTGAGAGAGGGTGGAGATATTTGAACCATTTGGAGAATGCTCCCAGTGTGACATCCGAATTACTTGTAGAAAAGCACGAGGCCAGTTTGAGCTCAAACATCTGTCCTGTGGTTTGGTCTTCCTCACACATTTTAGTGGGCACAGTGGGCTTTGTCTGGCTTCAAGCTCTCATATTTCCTTCCTTTGGCATTTCATTAATATCTTCCCTAAGCTGCATGTTCATGTGGGAAGCAGCAAAGAGGCAGCAAGAGTTAGTAAGAGATACAAATTTCTGCTTGTACATTTTGGTGGGAAGAAACAGGCATTGTGTACTTGCACTCATCTGTATCCTCATGGGAAATAAACAGCAACTAAATCAGTTGTTAGCTTTGTGTGTTATCTTTAAAGATGAAAGGACACTGAAAACAATGAAACCACTGCCCTGGGGTTTCTGTAGGAAGGGAAAAAAGCAACAACTGGAGCGAAGAATGAGACCTTTGATCTGTGCAGTCAGTCCCATTGAGTTAGTCTGAGACTGTACCCAGAAATAGAGAAGACAGGGGTCAAGAAAAAAGTCCCAGTCCCAGTACACAGAAGTAGTCTGCACACAACTGCAGAACTTTCTTGGGTATTTTTTTGTGTGTTATACTGTATTAAGTTAACATTATCTCTACAAATTTGCTTCTTCTGCACTCTGGCTTTGTGTTCTCAGTATGAGATCAAGGGTGACACAAGGCTCTACATGCAAGAATTAACAGTTCGAACTGCCAGCTTTAACACAATGTTACTTCCATTGGTCCATCATCATTTAAGCCTTCATTGAAACAGACAGAAATTGCAACCTCAAAATATTTTAAGCTATGAAAATGACAAGCCAAACAAAAAGGAAATTCAATTGGCGTGTCCTTGTGTCCTAGTGGTTAAAGACGCACACCATTTAACCACAACGTCCCAATTTTGATTCTGACTGCAGACCTTTGTTGCATGTCATTTCCTTATTCTCTCGGGCTCATTAAAACATATTTCCATCATTATTCTTGCACACCCTGTATGCTGACAAACTGTAGGCTAACATCTCTGCTGAAACAGCCTGATTTGGGAATGTCTGGTAGCTTGTGTTTAGTTTTGGGCTACTGGCAGCCGTTGGTGCACAGTCACTGCAGCCTGGCCTGTCTGCTCTGGTTTCATAAGCAGAGAGAGAGAATGACCTATATACTTCTCTCAGGGAGGGGAAGTCACCTTGTTGGTGGACCAGCAGGCAGGCAGGCTGGCACATAGCGACAAGGTTTTAATGTGCGGCACTATTAAAGGGTTGACCACTGACTGGATATTAGAAGCACACTCTCATATGCTGCTCGCGTTGTTCTTGGATCACAAATGTTGTGGGACAGATTTCTTGCCGTGGCTTGTTCTCTTGTTAACACTGGCTTCATTGTAATGGTGTGGAAAGACCAATGTATAGGGGAATATTCAGTAGATTAACATGCTGAAAAACACATCTTGACATGGATTAGATTTGTGCATGCACACATACACACACTCTTATTCACATTAGCTGAAACCATGGGGCCCAGTGCCAGAAAGATCTAGTCAGACAAACACCTCACCAGAGACTCCTCTAAGCGTCCTAACAAATTGAATGTGTGTGTAGATGGACAAGAGGGAATTAGATCAGTGGTCCTGATTGTATCTGAGTGTGCTGTTGCTGTACCCCTTTCCAGCTAGTCCCCTGGAGGAAATGTGTGTGCATGAGAGAGAGAACAGAGGTAGAGAGACAGAGAGAGGAGGAGAGAGAGTGCTTGGCAGCTGGTTTGATGAAGGATGTAAGGAGAATGTTAACCAGACAATCACCTTGCATGTTATTGATTGAGATGGGAGAGAGGTAATTAGCACAGAAAAGAAGGGGAAGCTGAGGCCACTTTTAATGTTTTGATACAAGGTGTTCTCTCTTTGTACCCATCTACGTGTTGTGTTCTTGTGTGTGTGTGTGTGTGTGTGTGTGTGTGTATGCACATGAAGGGAAATATTTTATAAAAAAATTATACTGAATATCCAAATGTTTCCATCTGTGACCTAACCTTGAATGCATGAAGCTTTTAATACCACTGCTCAGAATGTAAATGTATGTTAGATTTTTTTATAGTATGAGAGCCAACTGATTCAGTGTCATTCCATTAATAAGTCGCATAAACAAGTAGCATATTCTAATATAATGGGCCCATTATTCCACTTGTACTCACAGTAATCAGCTCCACGCCCTGTGCATGCACATCCATAGGGCATGCTTGCTCTGCTAACTGATGAAACCATGTCATGTTTCATACCAGACTGTGTGTTTTCAGTGGCCTGTTCAGTTTTAAAAATTCACCTTCCCTCTATCTTTTGCCTTGCATCTTCATTTAGCAGTGCTTGGTCTTACAGATAGATTTAGTCTTAATGTCCCTGGGTATGCATTGGATATAAATCCTTAAAAAGCTTAATATATAGCTTAGTATCAAATCTACATGTAACATACTTCTATTTTTACAAAAATAGATAACATAAACTAATTTATTTTCTTAAATTAAGTTGTCAAAACATAATAATGAGATATATAAATACAAGGTGGGATACGTTAGTTAAAAATAACCTTTCTCTCATACAAACTGTGTAATGGTGACAGTGCTTCTGAATGACATCAGACAATCTTTGGCATTGCTGTACTTCAAATTCGTGTTATTCATTGGCCAACATAGATGTCGATTCTGATATATAGTTATCTCTGGAGAGCGATATCATCAGATAATATCGTCTCTGTCAATATGTGTTGACAACGGACAGAATTCAGTGACATTATGAATGTCTTTGCAACCTAAATGTGTACATATAACATAATAAGTGTATTTTAACTGACAAAACTAACACAACCAATGACATCTAAGCAGGAGTTTAACCAGCAAACAAACCAACGTCTTTCACTGGTCATACTGTAATTAAACAGGACAAACATATCAGAAGTAACCTCATGAGACAGGAAATGTATACACTCATAAAAAAACGATTGTTCATTATTCATCAATGTGCATCTGATAATTTACTTTCATATAGGCTACCCTGTAGTCTGTGTGCACTGTGTGTCCTTGTCAGTTATTTAAATGTGGTAGTAAACAGCTTTGATGCCTCTTTTGTACCTGGATTGACTACAGACAGACATCATCCATTGCCACTGACATCTACTGCAACTCTATTTCTCCCATTTAGCACCGCACCAGTAAGAACATACTGTACATCCTGAGCTTTAATAGTCATGCAATTGTAGAAATCAGTCAGCAGTGAAAGCAATAAATTAAGCCAAACTGAACAACGCTTTGGATCAGGCAGAACTGCAGCAGACTGTCATCAATTCTGTCGCCTGTTGGTTGTGGCTCAGAGTAAATAACGACAACATGCCATGTTACTTACATCACAGCACGCATCAGAACTGATTCTCACCTTTGATCTTAAACCCTGAATGTTTGCTCTGTCGTGGTTTGTATTATTTTTGTCCACCACTCTATACTTTTTCCAATGCGTCACACTTCTTATGCCAGAGAAGGGGACACGTGTTTTGGATGCTACTTAAATTTGACATCCTGCTCTGTGTCTCTCTGCTTATTGAATTTAAATAATCTCCTCTATAATTCTGTCATTGTCATCTTTGTAAGCCTGGTGAAGCTGTAAATCAGTTGACTGCAAAGGCCTCCTCTCTTGGTTGGCAGACATCTTTATGGCTAGCCACATTGCACTGCCACTGTACTGTGGGTCATAAAACCCAAGAATGTTTCACAATGTGTATCAGGCTTGAGTACTGTTAGGAAGGGGACAGTCTGCCCTGGCTTTGTTGTTGACTTTAAAAAAATCTTTGTTGATTTATGTCTGGTCCTAAAACTTGTGTGTGTGTGTGTGTGTGTGTGTGTGTGTCTGTGTGTGTGTCCTTTCAGCTCGCCACTGAGACAACCGTCCTCAACGGCCAAAGTGTGCCTGGTTTGCGGAGACGAAGCATCAGGATGCCACTACGGTGTTGTGACATGTGGAAGCTGCAAAGTCTTCTTCAAAAGAGCAGTGGAAGGTATGGCATTAACTCATGTTCAAACAAGATATCACGGGTTATGGGTTTTCTAGGGTGGCTGAGAGAGCTCAAAACACTGCATCTTATGAAAACACAAGAAAAAAAATGACAAGACATGAATGCTGAAGTAAAACAAGAAAATGAGAAATAACATTTGCCCCAACACATAGGCAGCAAAAAGAAACACACTGCAAATACCAAGAACACAAAATCAGCAAATAGAGAAATGCTGCAAGTTGTACGCAACAACAGAATTAAGTTACAGCAGTAGTAGTTTCTGGTGGCACTAGAAATGATAAACCTGCTAGTAATTTGACTGCAGCTAGGTCTTCAGCTAATATCTACTGTAATATCATATTCATGCTCTTGTAATATTCATCATATTCATCTTAGTGTTAAAACTAAAATAAAGTGATTAGACATTTGTATTCATCAGTTGTTGTGTCTTTAAGAAAGTTGTGTTGAACCTTCAGTCTTTCTGTGTTTTCTGTATTTGCAAAACATTATGTGGTGAATGTGTTTCTTAATCGTGTTTTATTTGCAGTGTTCTTATAAATGCAAAGTGGTAAAGATGCTTTTCTCATTTTCCCATGTGTTTACTTTGGTTGCAGTGTGTTGAGCTCTGTACTTGTCTTACACTGAATATTTAAAAAGAGAAAACCCAGCTTATTTTTATTGTTTAGAGAAGAGTGACATACATTGTTTAAACTCTAATCCTAAAACTAATACTTGTGAGAGAAGAAAGCTACTGTGTCAGTATTGTGCTGTTATTCAGCAAGTTTCATTCATATTGCATTACACCAAAAATTGGTTCTCACAATTCTTTCAGTCAATATCAAATAATTTCAAACCATACCACCTTCACTGACAACTGTAGCATTCAAAATTATTGGCAGACATTCTGCTCAATTATTTAACAGTAGTTCGTGGGGAGTAGTACGTTATGCCAAGTCAGTTTAAATGTGTGGCTCAAGCTTACAGCTTTTCCAGCTGGGCAAAGTTAATGAGAAAATGTGTGCAAATACAATAATTCTGCTTTCAGTAATTTGTCAGAAAATCACTTTTTTTCTGATAGAACGGAGTTTGAAAAGCTGATCAGACAAGCACATGTTGGAAAGCAGCGAAGCAGCCTGTTCTTTCCATTTAGGCAGCATACAGTCCTAATAATTTTTGCAGGAATTATGAACCAATAGCTGATTTTTCTTTATATGAACTACACACGTTTATGCAACAAAACGCTGTTTTGTTGGTTTTCTACATATTTGTTTTTTCTAAAAGATCATTAAAATGGCCAAAAACATTTGGTACGTTATATTTATAGACTGTGACCAGGTTGAGTGGCACACACACACACAGAAAAAAACATTCAGTAGGTAATTCTCTTTCACCAGCCCCTTTAGGTTATATTTAGCTTGGGGAAAATCAACAACAGCCATAATGTGCTTTTCATTTTGTGCCTGTTGCCTGAGGCGTTGGCTTGATTCATTAAGATGAGTGTTTGAATGCTAAACACACATTTACAGACCCAGTGCAGGTGGGGAAAAAAAGAGCAAACAAGCCTGCCAGTCAGCCATCAGGCCCTCTAGGTGTTTTCCTGACCATTGGAGGAATTGCACTCAGTCCCAATCAAATCATGCCTTAATTTGATGATATTTACACACCGTCATTACGGTGACCTGAAACCAGATTATGTGTCTGGGGTTATCAAATCAGACATGCCATTGTTCATGCTTCAAACGTGGCCAGTGGAGAGCCGTTGGCAGATGCTAAAGATCTGACTTTGTGTCACAGTGATAGTCAGGTGAGACTCTGAAGAGGTCAGACCTCTGTAGGCTCTGTCATTACACTACTAAAACCCTATTTGTCTCTCCTATGATTTCAAATTATACTGAAATTGACTCATTGATTGTGTGATGCCCTTTAAATCTAATGCAGTGTTCTTTACTTTCAAATGTCTTTATGAGTATCTCTCCGTGTGTGATTTCCTCTTGATTCTATACTGCCAAACAACTGCAACTTTGCAAACTATTAAAGTGTAATAAGGGCAACCCATACAGTGGTGTGATGTCATCAAGGTTGCGTGCGATGTGTACGCCCTTCTGATGTGCACAGCGAGCTGTTACCTCACTTGACCGCTCCACAGCTGCTGCTGAGGTGGAAAGAGAGAGGTAAGGTGGAGGGAGGCAAAGGATGAAAATACTGAGAGAAGGATTTTGCAAAGTGAAGAGAGATAGAGGACAGTGAAACAGATACAGCGAGGGAGGGGGAGGAAGGACAAAGAAAAAGTCAGACGCAGACAGAGAGATAAAGAGAGGAGGAGCCGGGAGAGCGAGTAAGAAACAGGGAGAGGGATGGAAAGCGATGTGTCAGCAGTGAGCGCCGGAGAGGTGTAAGTTAGGACGTGAGGAGACGTTGTACTCCTCCCCTCTACCAGTATTTCCTCCTCCTTCTCCTCCTCTTTTCTTCCGAACTGAAAAACTTAGACTCGGCATGTGAGATATAAAAGAAGACTGCAGAGAGTGGGCATCTGTGCAAGGGGAATAATCCAGCCCATGCTTAATTTCTTTTGGCACCGCCTGCCTCGGGGGACACAACTTTTTCGGTCGGCTGTAGCTCATTAGACGACTAACTGGCTCACAGCCCTTTACTACAGAGCTAGTTAGCATTCTGGAGTCATCAACAAATCAGATGAAATTGTCTGACTGTGGAGGGTCTGGTTTCCCCTTTATCCGAGTCAGACAAGCCATTGTTAGGTAGCTGTATTTTACATTATCCCAGCTTGGCACAGTTACTCTTTGCAGCAGTTTAGGTTTACATTTGGACCATCTGTTTAGAATATCTATTGGACACATGGGCATTTTACTGTCCAAATCTGTGCACTAACAGTCCCCCTCAAGAGGACGAATATTCATTCCACTTAATTTTTGTCATATCTACCAGAAGGCACAGCCAACTGTACACGATAAAGTTTGTAACCACGGTCCCAGGAAACATATAGAAATTCTAAATTATGTGCCGAGTACTCTCTGGCTGCAAGCTTTTCAAAATGCCCCCAATTCATTCTTTATGTATTTACATTCGAACACACTTATTTCATCCACCTGCTCTCCTAGTTTCCCAGTTTATCTTAGTATACAGTGTGGAAGCTCTCACACTTTTATTTACAGTCACATTTTAGATGTTCTTGTATAGTAAACAAACAGAAGAGGGGTAATAACTTTTATGAAGCTTACAAGTTTTGCAGCTGTACTGCTACTGTTGACTCAACTGTCAAAAGCAGCCAGTTTATGGACTCTATTGAAATGAATGAATTCTTCACTATAAACATTTATCCTGCGCTGTGGGAAAAATACCTTCTGACACAAAACAAAGGTTCGTAAATACGTGTTATCATCACTAATGAAATGTGGAAATAGCTGAATGTATTCATGTGTGCCTCTCTCCTGCATCCACTTCACTAAAGACTAGTTTGTTGATACAAGACAGCTGCACTCAATAAATGACTCCATGTGGAGCACATTTGAAGAGATGAACGCTAGCTTATTATTCACATGTCATCAGTGGCTTGGCATGTCTGCTCTTTGAAATAATACTAGGCTCTGCTTTTAGCTCACTAGCTGTTTTTACTGTTCTCTTATTGAACTGAGAGGTTTACAGAGACATTAGTCAACCTTGTTATGGCCTCACTGTGTTCTGCAATGTGACTGGGTCGTGGTTTCCATGGCGCTGGTGTCAATCTAAAATCCTATTCTTCGGTACCGCCTCTGTGGGAGAGGTCATCCGAGGACACGTCTTGCACTGTTTCTGCTTTGACTGGCAGCTCTGCTGTCCAATCACATCTTTTTCAGCTCCAGCCGAGAGAATAAAGGACTCCCTCCAGTGCCGGAGTGAATGCTTCAGGTTGTGTGTGAGAGGATCATGTAACAACGGCTGGAGTGAAGCCATTTAGCAGTGTTATGCTCCCTAACACATGTCTCACACCGTATCTTCTTTGATCAGGAACTGCATACAACGTACATACAAATGCAAGCACAGGCACAGAAGTCTTTGTAAGTAGAAAAGGAATTCAGGTGTACAGCATTAGGTAGAAATTTAATCTGTAAAGCTTAATGTAAGTATGTGTGTGTGACCCACATTGCTAATAGGCATTTAGGTTGGAGAAAGCAGTCTGAGGAAGGGTCTCTTTAATGCAACCCAGATACATTGACTGTTATAGTATACATGATTGCATTTTAAATCCTTACAGCACATAGCATATTATGGCTTCAACTAATGATTATTTAATTTTTTAAATGAAGTGATTAATTGTTTAGCCTGTAAAATATTAGAAAAAGGAAAAACAAATGCCCCTTACACTTTTCCTAAAGCTCAGTCCACAAGACACATGTATTCAAATTACAATTAAACAGAGCAACAAGTCAGCAAGACATGCAACTCCTCATATGTGAGAAGCAGGACCCAGCAAACGTTAGGAATGTTGCTTGATAAATGAATCAAATAATTATTAATGTTGTTAAGTTACTTCACATAATTCTCCCGAGCCATGAAGCCTCTGATGACAGTAACAACTATGCTGTATGTTTGGTGCACGTGTGATTATATAACTCACACACATATGCACTCACTACTTCCTCCATGCCCTCAGTTTCCCTGGCCTGGGCTGACCTGAAGGCCTGATGGCTCTCCAGTGGATATAATCTGACCTCCATCTCTTCCTGCTCCCTGGTGATACCTTTGTTCTTTGACATCAATGCAAAAAGGATACAGTGCAGACAGTGGGTTACACCTTTTGTGTCCAACCAAATAAGCAGTGCCAATCTGATGGGCTTTATCAGTGTATTCACTGATGATTAGTTTGTTAAAGATACAGTACTACAAAGTTAAAAGGAATCACTCCCTGTTATTTTCCTTCAAAATATGATTTTATAGTTTTAGATAGGCATTCGATATTTGGATTGACAGAAAATCATGTTTTGAAAACAGCTTTGGTGAAAAAGGCGATGCAGAGGAGTGGGCATATTTCTGTTGTAACCCTATAGTCTGAAAACAGCAAGTCCTCTTTGATTTATTTAATTTGAAAGCAAGTCAAATGTTTTCAACCTCTAGTTATAAGATCATACAAATAACTTTTGTTTTTACCAATTAATATCTGAATGTCTTGACAAACAATTGGTGTAGTGCTACTGCTGGGAATAAAGTAATAATGCATCGTAGATGAGAGTACTGTGAAATAGTTATTGAATTCCAACTGCTTTTATCAGTAACACTGCCATAACTGGCTGCTTTTGTACATTTGACACTTCCAAATACCATATTGAGACCTAAATAATGACTAAACGCATTATGTACAAAGGCAGCAGATGGGGAAAATCTTTGTGAGGAGGAAATGCACAGGACAACTGTGATATAGCACATTATCATAGAAGTGGAGACATTAGTAAACAAAATAACAGCTTCTATTTACATCCTATTTTAACTTCTGCACCCTCTTTTTATAATGATCCAGACAGGGAAACTTAATTGTGTAGAGCCCCATCCAACACAGCTGTTTGTGTGTTGTCCAAAGAACTGGAGTAGCAGAGCTATTGCAAGGCAGTGATTTGCATACCACTGGCCCAGTGGTAACAACAATTACATCTCTGAGAGGCCTGTTTTTTGGTTGTTTGGTATTTTTTTGGCTATGTAATTTAGGTTGCATAAATACTGATGAATGACAATCACAGAATAGACCAAATGCTTTGTGAGTGGATAATTAAATGGCATTAATCTATGAGGCTGACATAGATTTCAGCACGTCCTTTAGTTATATGCCATCTTGCATCTGCAGTACCAGCTTGCAACTCAGGAATCTGCAGGCGCTGCTAAATGGCACTCAGAGAGTCATAGTAGTATTATTGATGTGGGTCAGCTACTGTATCTGAGAGGCTATTTTCACAATCAGGTTTCTGACCACACGTCTAGTGGCTATTTAAAAATGTCAGGTTAAAGGCTGTATTTTAGCAAAGGCCTCAAGTCCGTCTGTCTTTTGTTTGGAAAGCAGATGTACTGTGGCCGTGCTGGTGGCAGGAAGACTGCAGGGCAGATTACTCTTGTTAAAGTGGGGTCCCCATAGGAAAGACTATTTCCCTTTCAGAAGAATGTCCTCGTAGCTGATGTATGCCAGAGCTGACAGACAACAGAGACTACTCAGCGGGTTGTTGCCAGATTGTGAGATCATTAGCTAAAAGTAGACGTGAGTGGACTCCATTAAATGAAGAATGCTGACAGAGTGTACATTGTAGATGCAACAGCAGACAGGAAATTTTAGAATGATGTCAAATTTAATACAGTATCTGAGGAACCTTTTTTATTTATTTATATTTATATTAACATTTTTTTTTTTTTTATATTTTATGAATTTGGCATTGCCAAATGTTTTTACTGTAGAAACAGTTATAGATTTTTGAGAAGGATACAAATGGAATTATGAAGAGAAATTAGTTGATAAATGAACCACTTCCAAAGAAATTTAAGTTAATTTAAAAAAAAAAAAAGAAAATGTCAAGACATTTTCTGAGGTAAGACTGAAAAAGTATCATTCACCAGTAAACCCACTATGTGCCAGGTTGATAAGCAAATGCACATATTCAGAGGTAAACATGCTGTGCAAGGGCATGTGAGTGCATGCACACACCGTGCATAAATAAACAACTTCTCTCCATTTCAGATACACACGCGCATACACACCATCGGACTGCAACTTCGCTTGTCTCATGAAGTGTATTTCACTCCAACAATTATTAACAAGATTCACGGGAATGAGCAAAACAGTTGACAGAAAGGCTCCAGAGTTTTCAGAATTGCCATTTGGTCTTGCCTATCCAAGCGAGTGTGTTGTGTGTATGCATGTGTGTGCGTGTGTGTGTGTGTGTGTGTGTGTGTGTGTGCGTGCACGAGGGGGGTGGGGAAGGGGATGGCTGCGTTGTGTTTCCTGTGTCGCAGTTTACTGTTTTTTAGAGCAAGAAAAATGGGCTTATGTAACGGTCATGTGATTTAGCCAGAAATAGTGGTGGGGCTACAGCTGCTGCCTCTCCTCCTGCAGCTCGGTTCCTTGGCTTTTGGCAGCAGCCAGACAGACACACTGCGCACTACTCCTGCTAGCTCTGAAAACAACTTCTGCTCAGTCCTACACACAAATACAAATACTGTACTGTAGATGCAACAAAGGCAATGCACAGAATGTACATGTTTGAGCAAACTCCACGCAAAACGCACTTGTGCTTTCATGCTAAAACACAAGTTTATGCCAGAAATCTTAGATACTTTTAAATAAATAAACAATACAAGATGAACATGCAAGAAATTATGCACTGAAATGCGAATAAAACAAAATGTACATGCATACAACTATATACTCAATCTGACACGTACACACAGTTTTAATATCAACCCTAAAAGAGCTAAGCCATGTACTGGGGTCACTGGGGTCACTACACCACACTATACCACTCCATCTGGGCTGTGTCGTGATTTCCATGTGTGTGTATTTGTTTGTGAAAGCAGATATTTGCAGTTTCGTTTTTTTTATCAAATTGCCAAGTGGAGCAGCTTTGGTTGTGTGCATGCGTGCGTGCGTGTGCGTGCATAAGCGTGTGTGAGTGTGTGTATGAGAGTGAGAGAATGAATGACTGTACGTGTGCACGAGCATGAGCCTGCCTGTGTGTGGGCGTATGGCGCTCAGAGGCTGGCGGACGTGTGGAAAAAGGGAAAAAAGAGGGATGGAGATGCAGGCGTAGAGAAGGAGAAGAGTGGAGGAGGAGAGCTGTACAGTGAAGAACTAGTGGAGCGGAAGGAAGCGCTCTGAAATGGGAGATCATTGGGTTTAGCTAAGGGCTAGGCAGGAGGCAGGAGGGATTCTCGCCATGTTAGCATCACTGTCAGGAATAGACTAGCTGCAGCCAGTGTCCTGGTTCCAGCGAATATTAATACCCACATGCCATATACTGTAAAATACACCATTAGTCATGCGTTGTAGATTTTGAGAGCAGAATAATCCCAATTTCAATCATTTTCACAGTGATAATCATGAAATGTAGATCTCTGATATTGCCAGACATTTCACTGTTGGTTTCTGTGTTGACCTACATTACAAACAGTCACCGATAGAGATTCTACTGCAGAATCAGTCGTTAACTTGTCTTCATGTAATCAAATGTATACAAATATTATTCAGTATTCCATAAGTCAACCTCTTTTTCTGCCCTTTTTTTAATTATCTTTGCAGTACATCAATTTGAAAATATCACTGCTGTTCTTTGTCAAGCTGCATGTACCATTCACCATCGTTCTGACACTGTGTCTTGTCTTTCTGTAGGTCAGCACAACTACCTGTGTGCCGGGAGAAATGACTGTATCATTGACAAGATCCGAAGGAAAAACTGTCCGGCGTGTCGCGTACGGAAGTGTCTCCAGGCCGGGATGAACCTAGGAGGTGAGGAGTCACACCCTCATTACAGATTCGCCCTGTCACGTGTCTCAGATGTGACATTTGAGTCAGCCTGGCTCTGCTTATAAGAAATTATAGATACGGAAAAGTAGGTCTGGCTGCAGTCACAGGAGGCCCAAGGATGCTGAGTCATAGGATGTTTGTGTGTATTTGTGCGCATATAGTATATCTGAGCACAATATGCATAATGCTTCTACAGAAGGTGTAGATCTACAGTACTCTATACGATGGAAGCTGACAAAGCCTGCAGACAAGTTACAGTATTGTGATATGAGCAAATACATTGTAGTTGAGAGGGTTGTGGTTGATATATTCATCTATTCCAATTCAGGGCCACAATGGCAAGGGTAAAAACAAACAAGGCTAAAAAAAACAATCTTGATAGGTTTTCAATCCATTAGAGTTATTGATATTACAAATAATTTTCAATGTTATGCTTTCCAAGGAAGCTAAATTTAAACATAAATGTAAGTGTTTATATACATTTAATTTACAGTTTTGTAAGTACTGTCAGATTACTTCAGAAAACAAAGGTGGCCAGAGGGAAGACACACACATTCAGCTCATACAGAGTGTCGCCCGAGCTGTCTGCTTCATGCTTTTTAAATAATTAGTTGGGAGTAAATGAATCTAAAGTGAAGTCTCTGCAAATTCAAATGATATATAGAATAGCAGTGGGGAGAGGAGTTAATGAATGCCTACGGAAAGGTGCTCAGAGTTATAAAAAAAAAGCAACATGGATATTTCAGACTAGCTCTACTGTGCACTGTAATTTCCAAGCAAGATTTCGTGAAATGCTTGAAATGAACCATTCACTGAAATGACTGTAAAGTTGTTTTTCTTAATGATCATCACCTAATTTAATACCTGTTATTACCCTTTGGTATATGAGACTTCTGTCATTAAACACTTTTAGCCGTTTTGTCTATTCAGATATGCAATGAGATGACAGTGTAAAAGCTGTGAATATTGAATATTTTAATCCTAGGGGTTATTTCAGTACCTTGGACAGATTCTGTGACTTGTCTGAAGTAAAAGATATAGGCTACTGGTTTATGAAAACTCTGCCATTTGGAAATGCATGAGTACTGTCAGCTGTCATGTCAAATCAAGTTTATTTGCACAGCCCAAGATCACATAAAAGATCTAAATGGGCTTTACAGGCCCGTAATAGCAGCGGGTCCCAACCGAGCTCAAGCTCTCTGTGTCTGGAGTCCTTGGTGAACTTAGGAATGGTTTATTAATTGGCTGCAGGAATAAGGATCTAATGTTTTATTTTCCCTCAGAAGACTTGACGCAATAACATGGATGAGCTTCATTAAATAGGAAAATAATTCAAACACATACACAGTTAAGTATGTAAGAATGATGTGGACAGACGTAGACACAAAATAAACACATTCAATTAATGTTTTGATGTTAAAAAAAATTCTCTAAACATGGAAAGACCAGTACCAGTATGTTTTTTATTTAAATGAATTTCTAGGAGAGCAGTCAGTTTGCTTAGTTATTGTCAACAAGTGAGTGTAACCACTTAAAATTAAATACTCACAATGAGGGCAAAAATGACTACTAAAATTCCAGTGGTGAGGATTTTCTTGTTTACATCTTGAATGTTACAGCTAACAGATGACAAATGTTTTATCCTGGAACCAATCCAAACCTCAGATAGTACGATACAAAATAAATAAATGGGCTCTGATTGTGAAAATCAATTCCAGAAAAGCACTTTATGATGCATTTTCTACACTGTGAATGTGTGAACACTTATTTTTTATGGCCCATTTGACTTGCTTGTATATATTTCTGTCAAAAAAAAAAACTAATGAGGAAATGATGTATTATTGACCATTTTTCTTTTAGCTTTAACATCGCTCTCCACAAGCATACACAGTGTTCATGCACAGAGACAGTTAATAAACTCACTCACAGGGTATTCAGAGCCTACAGGTGGGTGCTAGGATGAAGGTGGGTCATATGAAATGCTATATGAGCAGCAGCAGCGATGTTGAGGGGGTGTTTGGAGCAGTATATACATGTAGCTGAGGGGTTAAAGGAGATGTGCTGCAGCAGCAGAGCAGAGCAGAAGAGTCAGCTTAAATAGACCACAATGTGTCACTCAATCACTCATGTATAACCCTGTCACTCCCCTAAAACATACACCAAGCTCAGCACAGAAGAGAAAACTGTGAAAACCACATAACAGAGCCTCACATCAGCCGTACACAAAAATCTAAGTGGTACCCTCTAGCATTGCACCTCCAACAGCCGGGGGTTTTATACTACACTGAAATGGATCCTTTTAAACCCAACAATCCACCATGTGTCAATCATATATATAGACACGTCAGTTTAGCAGGAGATAATTATTAACTTAAGCATATTACAAGCACAAAAACATGACTTAGAGTAAACAAATGTCTTTCCAGTGAAATGTTATGTAGTGTTGAAAAGCAGCAGATGACCATGAGTCATGAATAAAAGCTTAAGGTTGCCAATGAGTGTGGCTGTATGTTTGAATAGCAGCAGTGGAACCCATTGAATGGGGGCTCAGCTGTTTAGATGCAGTTTCGATGTGAAGACAAGTAAAGAAAGCTGTCGGTTCCAAAGGTAAAGAATGAAAATATTTCTGCAATGTCAGCCGAATATCAACTACAGTGGAGAAAAGTGAGTGACAACCAACCCTGGTTTGCATATAATGGAACATAATTTCATGAATATACCCTTTTTGATATGAAATAGTAGGGTACACACAGGTGTTACGAATGATACTAAGGAAGGCTCCATTCAGTTTAGTGAAGCAGAGCCAACATGCATAATAGCAGCTCACTGACCTGAATGGAACATATCTTTAATTTGTATCATTGGTTCTGCCTGTGTTTGTCTTACTATTTCATAATGGCTTCTGTGAAAAAGGTCTATTAGCTGTGTAAAGGGCAGCAGTCGTGTTTATATTCCAACTGCCAATATACACTAGTATTGTCCACTACAGACCTTGGTAAAGTGAATCAAACCAATTCAGCCTATAGTTAAGTACAAAAGCATCATTATCACCACCGTGGAAATCAGCAGATTAGAATCATGTTAAATAAAAACAACTCATTCAGTCACTAGTTAGATGAATCCCAGCTAATACCAATGCAAGTAACAGCAGCCTGTTAGGAGCAGAGACTTAGCAGCCAACAGACACCCTAACAAGTGAGCTGTGAAATGTATGAAACTGTTAACAAGCACTGAAACAAAGTTGAACCATAGACTATATAATAAACAGGGTAGCAGAAGTAGCACCGTGATGTCACCCATTGGTTTGTGGACTACCATTTTAAAGCCTCGAGTTTGACATTAGGGCTGTTGCCATCTTGTTTTTCCCAGTCCACTATTAGTTTTACAGTCAGAAACACAACTGAGAAAACACCCACCAACAATAACTTTAGCTCCATAGCTTACTAACTTTTGCTTAGCATCTTAGTTAGCTGCAGGAATTCTTACTTTAAGAGACGCCCCAAAACACAGACAGCAAAACATGAAAACTCAAGCTTCCATCTTGAAGTAGAGTGTATGGACATCAGTGAGTAAAGACAAACTTCTGTCAGGACTAGCAACATTAGCAACACAAATATTTTCTTGGAGCATTCCAAAACGACATGAGCGCACATGTTGGCAGCAAGTTTGTTAATGAAATGAAATCAGTTGCAGCCGTACAGCGGCAGAGTTTTTAATATAGTGGTGTATTAGCATCTATACTGGACTGATCATTTAGCTTACAAAAACAGCCTTATTGCACAAGGGGTGTTAAATATGAGTTACAACTCGTTGAATGTGTTCTGTGCGAGTGTTGCAGCACATCTATATTTGATTGCTGTTGCTGCTTGTTACAATTTCCCAGAAGCTATAACTTTCTCTTAAGATACAGAGATAAAAGTTTTCCTTGAAAAAAATGAACTGTGGAAATTAGATAAGTAAAATGTAAAAATACAAGGCTTTAAAACAACAACAGTAGACATTGTTAACAGATACAGCAGACATGGATTTTTGACACATAGAGATGAATATCTATATTTAGGTTTTTTAATTATACTTGTACAGTATCTGTCACATTGCAATTACAATCTCAGATTATGAATGTAAGAAATGCCACCATCAACAATGTGTTAATGAGGGCTGTTGTGTCACCCACAGCACGAAAGTCCAAGAAGTTAGGGAAGCTGAAGGGAGTCAGCGAGGATCTACAGGGCTCTAAGGATGGCCAGACTGCCACAGGTGGTGTTGGAGGCAGTTACCTGTCCTCAGAGAAGGAGCTGAACGCCAGTGCTGCCAATGCCCTGGTGCCCCACGGGCCTGGGGTGGTCACACCTTTTCTGCCGCCCTCCATCTGCAGTGTGTTAGAGCTGATTGAGCCTGAAGAGGTGTATTCTGGCTATGACAACACGCAGCCTGACACCACTGACCACCTGCTGTCCAGTCTCAACCGCCTGGCCGGAAAGCAGATGGTACGCATGGTGAAGTGGGCCAAAGTACTTCCAGGTTAGTAACCAATAGAGCGGTGGGCTGAGGCCTAAATGCTGTTTAAGAGAGTTTTTTAAGCCAGAATTGGAGCCATGTGGAAATAATAATAACAATAAACCACTAGACAAAATATTTTTTGCCCTCGCTTTTAAAAGTTAATAAAAAAGGGCTGCAGCAATTTTTTTAGAATTTAGTAAATTTTATTCATGGATGAGTCAAATAAAATGGTAAGTGGTAAAAACAAAGTATCAGTCTAATAAATCACGGGTATTTATACTGTAATTATGGAGTGTGGTTTTAATGATGATAGCATTCCTACATCTTCACTTTTGATCTGCACATTTTTTGAATGCAACACTGCTAGTTTTGTCAGAGCGCACAATTTTAATTTTAAATATTAGGTCAGGAAATTATCATGTGAAGCTTCAACAAGATTAGGAAGGGAATCCTGTTTTACCATTTAATAGAATCAAGATTAAGATTTCCAAACAGAGCTTATTTACATTATCGCTGTCAGATGTTATGTTGAACAGAAAATCGAATGCCTATCTCATTAATTTTTACCTAAACATACACAGCACAGGAAGAAAATAAATGTTTGAAAAGGGATAAACAAGTTTCCCTAAAATGCCAGTCGTGGGAGACATATTGAAAGATGCCTCACAGGTAGCTCTTTGAGGCTGTTTAATTTGCTGTATTGCAAATATTTGATACCGCCACGGTGTCTGCTTGCCATATCCGGACGTATAAATAGAAGGAGAGCCAGACAGAAGGGTCAAAATGAGTACCTTCGACTTTCAGATATGCCACTGCCTGCATTCAGCTTACATTTGGATGTGGCAGGGCTAACACACAGGCCAACATGGAACAATATTGTCAGTACCAACAATATGTTCACAGAAAAGTCAAACTAGATCAGCCAGTCCCGTGCTCTTTATTTTATGAATACACAGTGTTAAGCCAGGCATCTGACATACCTTTTTTACATATTTAGATGTTTTTAGTTATTGTATTTGTAAGATTGAAATGCATATTGACTTAAATAGTCCCTAAGCCTTGATAAGTCAGTTGCGTGTCCTCAGTTGGCTTATGTTTTGCATGAGGAGGAGTTTCTTGCCAGAGTTTGATTGAGAGTTTGGCAAGTTTCCTATTCGACCCTATTTTTGGAGCTCCATAGACAACACGCCAATAACTGGAGGCCTTGTGGGATTTGTATAAAACAAGAATGGGTGAATACTTCTCAGTGGTTATCAGGTCTAAACAAATATTGGCACAGAAAAAGTACACTGTAGCAAAGATACACAGTACGTAGTGCACATGAAAAAACACAGAGGTACACACGTGAATCTACTCAGCTAAATTAAGGTCTCTTAGGTTGGTGATTAAGTCCAAATGCTTTCAATCAATCAAAGTATTGTCAGTCACATTCAAACATAGTGTTTTTTTTTCATCAGCTTCGTCTATGACTGCCATGTCTGTGTTCTTGTGTGTGTGTTAGGTTTCCGGGGCCTGCCCATTGAGGACCAAATCACCCTGATCCAGTACTCATGGATGTGTCTGTCCTCCTTTTGCCTCAGCTGGCGCTCCTACAAACACACCAATGGACAGATGCTCTACTTTGCCCCTGACCTCATCTTTAACGAGTAGGATTTACACTTCCATATCTGCAGTATACCACACACATCTTGCTGATGTTTTTAAAGTGCATGGCTCCTGATATTTAGGGCAGCGTCCCAGATATTGAATGTTTTTTGTCATATACAACTTCAAAATGCAACAAAGAGAGGAAGTCAAAGCACCAGAATTTCAGCAGGCACACATAAATTACATTCTGTGTTGTCTGGTATGTTCTGTGGTATCCTCAACACAAAGATATGAGAAAAAATCATTTGTTTTTCAGAGTATATAATTAGTAGATACAGTAATCAGGTTTTGACTCTTAGTGTTTAGTAGCTTATGCTATTTTCAGCAGCTCATCAGATACAAATTTATGCATAAGCATAGATTTTGCTTGTGGAATTTGGAGTGTAAGGAGTGTGTGTTCCTGCTGTACTATTTGAGTCTGTCATTAACATAAAGAAGACTTTTCAAAGGGGCTGAAAAAGCTTTTGTGGTAGTGACGTTGCTTTCTGGACATCATGGTGTAAAAGGTCGTAATCTCTCACCTGATTTCTGGTAGCTCACCAGGAAATACTTTTGTACTTTTTGATGGTTCCTTAATTGCGTCAAGCCCAGGCGATCAAAGCCTGGCAAGGGCAGTAAATGGCTCACTTGATCTGTGTTAATATGTTTGAACAGGAGAGCAAGTGGAGAGGAAGTCTATGTGGGCTATTTTCTCTTTGGAGCTGCGGTGCATGTCCGCTGATGAATTGAATATTATAGAATGAATCCGAAATGAGAATGGCATCCTCTGTAGGCAACCTTATGTAGAGGAGCAGGTTCAATCAGGGGCAGGTTTAAAAGCTCCGACTAATAGCTTGTGTAAGTCAATGTCAGTGGGTCAGTCTGTCCCAAATAAATACATAAATAAACAAACAAATGCGCAGATGCCATTGTGCAACACAATTTCAGACCCTGTGAGCCTGTGTTGTTATCACTTTGAGCTTAGTACAGTTGGTAAAGCCACACAGGTTTGACACACCAGAGATCCTCTGATCCTTTAATCAATTTAGTGCCAAGTGGCTTACAGTTTATTAAGAATTGTTTGCTTCCTTCTGTCAAATGACAACAGCTTTTGGGGAAAATTTTATTTTGTAATAGAGACTTGGTGGTTTGTGTCGTTTGGAAAGTTCAGTATTGGAATATCTATAATAATAAGAGTATGTATTCTTTGTAGACAAATGGAGAAAAAAAAATGTTACTGTACAATATGCTGCTGTTTCTGCATGCAGTGCATTTACAGCAGGCCTGTCCCATTGACAGATGGGCTTGGTATTCAGCTTGACAGAGCAGATGAGATGTAGACCGGCTGGAGATAGTGGTGGCCTGGATTTTGGTCACATGCTTGCCGCTCTGTCAGGGCAGCCTGGATGTCACTGCCAGCCCCACTCTGACGTTTTTGGCCTGTTATCAGGTTGAGGTGTGTCCCTTGCTTGTTGTTTAGTTCATTGACAATTCTGTCAAAAATTAGGACAAAATTGGTTCATAATTTTGCACTCAGTCTTTGAGGGGTTGGACAGTGTACACTTGTTTCCATAGCTACTTAGTGCTTATTGACCCAGGGCATTAAGTCATTTATTGAATAGACTGTCCACTCACTCAGCTTCCATGCAGAGTGGAATCTGTCACTGATTGAGAGTAAATACTGCAAAGACAGATGTACATTTTATATTAAAGACAGAGTAAGCCTGCATAATCTGTCATTTAGTCGCTGATGTGTGGTAAATGCTAGCAACAATAAAACAAAGCTATTTCCCTAAAAGTTCTTGGCATTCACTCATGATTTATCATGTACACACTGGACAGGGAAAATGCATCTACTATTTGTAAAGGTAGAAATCAAATGCAACATATATTTAAGCAACCCTCCAAAAACAATGACAGTCATAGAGAAACATATATATACATATATATATACATAAGATTTTATATTTTTTGGTTTCAAGAAAGCACCCCCTGTCTGTGCCAGTCAGAACTGTTGGTTTTCTGTCCATTTTTTTTTCATACAGTATAGCCAATCAGATCCTTTCATTTTAATTGATATTTTAAACTTTACAGTCACAGACAGCAGTATGCAACTGCTCTGGCTGACAATAACCACCAGTGAATAGTGCACTTTTAAGGTCAGTTTGCAGGCTAGGTAGCTAATTAGCTAGTCAACTGTAGCATATTGAATAGCATACATTTAACCTTCAAATGTCAATGTCAGTCAGTTTACATGCTTTATGTTCCAGTCCTAATTCGTCAATATCACTGCCAACAAAACACTGTCTGTCCTTGTAAACTGCAGTTACCGGTGCAAGATGATTTACTTTCATTTACTTGTCACCCTTCCTCTGCCAACTCGGCTGTCAATCAAACACACACACTGGCCCGCCCATTCAGAGTCCTGAAGTCTAAAGGAGCATCTCTGATCACTCTCACTATTAAAAAGAATGTACATTTTGACCCAATATTTGACAGTTAAAGGGAATGACTAATTGTAACTTCAGTTTGTTTGAACATACTTTTCTGAACAAACAGATTTTGTTGGCTTCTTCCAGCCAAAGGTGAATCTGAACTTTTCCTTTCTCCCCAGTTCTGTGCTCCTTCCTGAATCTTTTACCATAGAAACGGAAAAAGAGACTGGGAGAAGAGACAGAAAAAGGAACAGAGTGAGAGCAAGACAGAGAGATATAAAGAGATGAGAAAGACAGAGAAAGAAGGAGGGAAGGAGAGACATTACTGCCAATTTTTTCTTTCCTCCCCAAAACCAGCAGCTCATTTTGGGCAGTGATTCAGCAAAATTGATTTCAGGAAGAGAGTGTGAGAGTGGAGAGAGAGAGATAGAGAGAGAGAGAGAGAGAGAGAGAGAGAGAGAGAGAGAGGGAGAGAGAGAGAGAGAGAGAGAGAGAGAGAGAGAGGAAACGTGTGGAGACTTTAGAAACTTCAGCCCAAAGTTGTATCAAATGATGTTGTGCTGCACTTTGTGAAACTGCTCACATACACAGTGCTGCTCAGCAGGGAAACAGGTCTGCGACGTTGTCACAGTTTATCAGTTATTTAGGCCGACAGACACAGCTGTACAGTAAATATTATAAGTGTTATGCTGTCTTATGCTTTAATGGGAACATTATGCTCTCGTTTTCCAATCGTCTGCTCCTGGTCCCCTTTACAAAATGTTTAGTCTAGTTGTTATCAGAGAGAAGTTTCCACCCTCACTGCCTATGTGATGATACAGATTAACTGTATTGGGGGTAAAATTCCAACCTCTTTCAAGTGAAGCCACACCACTTGCATTTAATTACTGGAGTCTCAATGTGACGGTGATTTATAGCAAAGAGAGGTGGCATCTAAAGCCAGAGATTTCCCTGAATCTGTGGCATCTGCAGAGCACATTTCTGATTGGCTCATGCTGTATCCCTTCTAATGTTTCTTTCCTGTTTTTGTGAACCCTGTGATGTAACCGAGATTATTTTGCTGATAAAATGTGTGTGAAAGAGAATGGGAGTGAGACAGTTTTATGCACGACAAGCCTAGCGTGCACACTTGATGTGTTTTACTTGACGTCGATTTATGTGTATATGTATATGTTTGGGTGTGCGTCATTTCTGTCAGCATATATTGGAAATGACATGTTTCTATGGTGACTGGGGTTGGATAGGGGGGTCTTCCATAGTCTGCCATAGCCTTTTCTAAATCTGTGGCAGACTCCGAAAGACAAAAGTGGTGCATATGTGCTGTGGTACTGTACGCAGCGCTCTGCAATCTGGGGGGAGTTGGTATTCTGCTCTTAGCCCAGACTAGCAGGATCCTCCTCTGCACTGTGGAAATATTGTTTCACTGAGCTGAACTAGTGTGGTAGGAATGGAGTTACTGTAGGGAGTGAATGAGTAAGTCAAACTGTGACACAACATCAGAATGAGTAGCTAAACAAATGAGTAAATGAGTGACTAACTAGCATAATCTAAAAAGTTCTCACTCTCTTTTCTTTCTTCAGGGACCGCATGCAGCAGTCAGCCATGTATGACCTTTGTCTGGGCATGAGGCAGGTGAGCCAGGAGTTTGTACGACTGCAGCTAACCTACGACGAGTTCCTCTCCATGAAGGTCCTTCTGCTTCTCAGCACAGGTAGGCAGTGAGCTCCAGGCCTGCAAGAGCTCTCCTTGATTCTTTATACATCCACCTGCACACGCTGCTTTTTTCTTTTGCACTACCTGCATGTTGTCCCAAACCTCCCCTCTGAAAATCATTTATCAAAAAAAAGAATTGTGCAGATCAGTCGCAAGTAAGAATTAATTGATATTTCAGGCATAACTCAAACTGGCTAAATTTCAATCAATAACATTAATGCTGTAATTGTAAAATTACTTGAATTTCGTGGCTAGAAGGCATATAGAACGGACACTGCTAATAGAGGTCGATGCAGTTTAGACCACCTTTGTGTGAGATAACACTCCCTGTGTCACAGTCAAAGCTGACCATGCAGACATCTGTTTCTTCCCAATGTTGAGAGGTGACTGTCCTTTCTTCAGATGCTGCATTCAAATTCAAATGGGATGATTCAATGTTGGTTGATCAAATGAGATCATGATGGCCAGTCCGTTAGCATAATTTCTCTGACACATTCTTATAATTATCTCTGAACAAATCTTGCTCTATGACAGGGAGCTTTTTCTAGTTGAAAGTACCTAACCCATCATGAGAACTCATTGCAAATAAAGATATAGTCTGCTGTGATGCTCTGGCATTAAGCCATCCATCAAGTATTCATGGACCCAGTTTCTACCATTTTAATGGGACTCAAACTTGTGCATTGTGACTGTGTTGCTTATGCTGCACCCTGACTCAGCTTCACAGTTGGAAGCAGAACTCATCATAATCAACAGTGCTGATGTTTTAAGTCCGCTGTTAAGCTTTGGTTTACTGTGAAGAGGAGAGGTGTGTTTGTCTGCTCTTACACCTCATACAGGCAATGGTGTGATGCCTTGCGTGTTCCCAAATTAACACTTGTTCCTCACAATTGTATTGTGTTATCTGCTGTACATGGCTTGGGCCATAACACTCCACATTCCTCAACCAAAAGACTGCTTCTCACACAGGAAATGTATTGATAAGGTGTCTTGTGTTCTGTTAAATCCACCACACACCTTTGAGACACTGTTGGCAAAGCTCAAACCCGCCTTCCTGGCACCGAAAATCATGCCTTTTTAAGGTCTGTTAGATTATCATTCATGGTAATCTGTTAACAAGAATAACAAGTGTGGAAATAGAGTTGATGTTGCATGCACCTGTTTGTGTATCAACGTGCAATTATATATATGCAAATTTAGAGGTGAGTAAGGTCTTTTTCGTTCTCTTAGTGACTCTGAGTACTCTTTCTGAAGGCTACTCCTTTTTTATATTTAATTGCCTGTGGATAAATAAAATATGTCTATCACTTGCTAAAGAAGGTCTCACCGTGTTGCCACTCAGTGCCAAACTGCGCCTACAGGCACTGCAGCCTCACAGAGAGGATGGGTTGGACCAAGTTGCTCAGTTGGAAGCTGAAAGTAGTTTTTTCACCACCTCAACAACCAGTGAGCTGCTGCTGTCAGTTCAATAGTAACAGTTAAAGATTCCATGATGGCAGCTGTGTCATAACTTCACCGTCCACACCCACTGACCAGTGGGACACGTTGAGACCTGCTGTAGTCTTTTATTTATGCAGACGTCCTCGTGGGGACCTCATATGTGTGTTTTTTTTTGTGTCAATAGATGTTCGATAGTTACAGAGAGAGTGAGGATAAAGGGGAGTGAGGGAGAGTTATGGCGAGCTATTTGAAGAGTCTGCATGCTGGCCAGACTTCAAACTCTTTGAACCTCAGCATCAGTGCCAATCAGTAGAAATATTCATTGGCAGAGTATTTATTTTTCAGTTACCGAGGCCTCTGAAAGTAGTGCGTGAATGCTGGACTCGGATGGGTAAAACACAACCTTGGTAAACTTTATTTCATCCTAGCATCACAAGTTTTACATTTACATTTTGGCCAATGAACTGACACCATTATCCAAAGTAAATTATAACGAGTGCAACCATAGAAGAGCCTATAGTTGTGTGTCATTAGCATTAATTAAAAGGTCAAAACTGCTCAGCCAATGTAGCTGATGTTTCAGTGGCTTTGAATTAATCATGTATGATTGATGATCAATCAAATGAATTCAACAATTTTGACAGAAAACTGCAATTTAGCTCCTGTTTGAGGATTATCAAAATACTTTTACTATCAAGGTTCAAGCCCTATACGTTTTTGTAAAAAGGTCCACTGGTTTGCTATCTTAGCCTTCTTTTATTATTTAAAATTATTTAAAAAAAATTGATCAGACTTCGAAAGCAGTCTTATAGTTTCTAAGCCAAAATATGAAAATGTTTCAAAACTGCAAAACTGCAGTCTGACTTTGCTGGAATGCAGTTTGTAAACTCAAACTTGATCTGATCTTTGCTTTTTATGCTGTACTTACAGTAGTAGATACTGCATATAGAAAAGGAAAAAAAGCATAATGTCAGTAGACTGTTAAACACACAATACCAATGGTGTGAGGTTGGTTTGACTTCCTAGTACAGTGACATATGGAAGAGGTGGTGCGGTTATCCCTGATATAAACTCAGTGTTGTTGAGTCATCTGGAAGCAGGGGGGCTCCGGCTGGACTTCAGCTATTAGATGTTGGGAGAGATGAGGAAGAGAGAGAATACAGAGAGGGTGAGAAACCAAGAGGGAAAAGGGAGATTTAAAGAGTAAAATCATACAAATGTTGACAGTGAGAGCTTGTGTTGGTGAGAAAGAGACAGGTGCATAGCTATAGGGAGAAAGAAAGAGAAGACAAAGGGGGTGGAGGGGTTGGCAGAGCCGGTCCTTCTGTTGCTGTGGCCTCCCTCTCCTCTCCTCGCTGGTCCTCTGGAGGTTTTCCAGAGAGTCCTGCTGTACTTAATAAAGGCCAGTCAAGCACCAGGCATTGCTCCAAGACCCGCTATTTTTCTTCACTTCCTTCAAACCGGGGCTGGAATTTTGAAGGAGAGGGTGCGGATAAAAGTATAGCTGGAGTTGAAACAGGGAATTTAAGGTGCTTCAATCTGCTCCGGTTATTGGATATAGTCAAAATATTGCGGTAAGATGTGAGGGAAGGGGAAGAAAATAATCATCCGGTGCTTTCGTCTCTGCTGTGCAGCAGAGAGATTCCTGTACCTAGTCAATCCAAAGCGCACACGATGGAGCAACTGTATTGAGCGGATGTTCTGCAAATATTTTAGCAAAAGCTCTTTTGAATATAGTTTTTTTTTTAAAAGCAGTCCATCTCTGGATTTTCAGAGGCACTGCAGGAATCTCTTTTAGTTACAGTTATTCAGAGGTAATGCTAGGGCCTCGTGGAAGGAGTAGCGGCAGAAATGTTTACAGAGGAGTTGTCAGAACTTGTCAGCTGAGCAAGTACTACGGAGTCACTGAGTGTGTGTGTGCCTTCGGGCTGGTTTTAAAAAAATTTGTGTGTGTTACAGAGAGAGAGGGCAAACGAGTGAAAGGGAGAGAGGGAAGGAGGGATAAAGAGAAAAGAGAGAAGGGTTGTTATTCCTCTCTGACCTTGGCTAAGGTTTCATTGAGCCTGCGGTGTCTCATGACCCTGTTTGGATTTTGCACAGGAGCAGCGGCCTGCCCAAACCAGTTACACTCTCCACCTCCACACAGACGTAGATAGCATTGCTAGATTATCTCATTTGTTTGTTCTGTCACCAACTGTATTCTCTCTTTTTTTTCTTCTCCGAATTGGTTGCTCAGCCTCATTCCAGGTGGGGCAAGTGTACAGTATGTTTACCGGGGCGATGGGTGCAATTTGTGTGACACATTTCCCTGTGATCATTTTCATTCCAATCAGTGTTTAGTGTTTTTGGGTCATGTTTAAATTAACGTCAACCAACACCCTAAAGCTTCACGAAGTTGTTACTGTAGTCATGATCAGGGCTAGTTGTAGAATTCCCTAATGAATAGTATCAGGTATTAAATCTAAACTGAGAGTCACACTGTCAGTTAGGTATGTACCCGCAACCCAGAGCAGGAAGCTGCATGTCCTTGAACTACACACGTGCTAATGGCATCTCCTAGCTGCATGAGTTATGTTAGCCTCTTTATTTCTTTTTACATGCTTTAGAAAAAGAGCTTTGGTACACTTAACAATGCAGCTGCTCTCCCAATAAGAAATATGGCCTAGTTGAAAAGGCTCTGTACCTGCAGTGAAAATCCGTTTGACACCAATTATGGTGATATAAATGCCCTATTTTGGGGCCGGTCATGGTAACGCCCCTAAATACCAGGTCAGTTTCTAATCAGGGTGTATGTGGGTCAGTGGGAGAAAAACAAAAGGTCCAAACGCAGCCCTGGGTTTTAGCACATTCTCATCATGTCAGCCACAGAATAAAGCACACAAATCCCAGCCTCTGCACAAGGGTCCAATCTGTTTTCATATCTGTTCTCCTCCAGGCTCATGTATGTCGTGCTTGAAGGTGATTGTGCATCAAAGTACGATGAAGAGAATTACATAGACAGGGAGAGAAAGGAGAAAAGAAAGAAGGATGAGAGGAAGGCGGCATACATTCCCAGAGTTATTGACCTTCAGTGATCTGTTCTCAAAAAGATGCAATCCTAAATGACAAGAAGTAGACTTTTGCTTGTGGCTGTTGGTTCTCAAAAAGGACCCAGAAAGGGGTCCTGTCAGTTGCTGGTTTTTGTTAAGAGTTGCTACAAGTGGTTAAGGTTTAAGAAGCATTCTGACTACTCAAAAGTACTGAAAAATGGGAGGCCATTTGAGTCATTATAGTTCAAAATTTCACATTTGGCTGTGAAAGATATTTTTGTAAGGTTTCAAAAACACTATAAAAATTTAGAGACATTAATAACTCTTCTTGGCATGTTTAGCTAAGCTGTAAATGCAGAGACGTCTCGTTACTGTGCCCTTGGTGAGGACCATTAGTTCATGTGATTGGGAACTTGTTTGACTTCACTGATGAAACATGAATGACAGATTTATTTTAATTTTTTTAAATGAATGGGATATCATGTTCTTTACACATACGTGTAGAGCTCAGTCTTGGATGTTCAACATTAGAGATGCAATAAATAGTCAATCAGTAAATCAACAGAAAATCAACCTAACAAACATTACCTTGTTCCAGCTTCTCAAATGTGAATATTTGTTGTTGTCTTTATATCATGCAAGTGTAAACTGCAACTGTAAACTGAATATCTTTAATCTATCCTTAATGAAAATAATCATATGTTGTTGCTAACCCTATTCTACACAATAATAGTAATAACTTTTAGTTATTATTGAACCCCTATCCATTTTTTACCTGGATAATTATTAACACTGCAGTTGGAAGTGGATAAAAACTTATATCATGTCATACATAGTAATATACCAGAAATGAATATGTTTTTGGTTAATCTAGCAAAATAAATACCTGACAAATAAAAGTACAGCACTTCATAATCCCGTTGCTATAAAGCAGTCCTGCTCAAACTCAAATTGGGTCATGGTAGGTATATCATCAAATCTTAGTCTTGGCTGAAGGACAACTCAAGGCGTTCCCTCAGACTGATTTGAGGTGCAGTCTTTGAGAGGCGAGGTGTTTCTTAATCTGGTAGCCATCAGCTGAATGTCATTTAAGAGCTTTGGCAGACTTCCATTTCTGTGACTTTGTTCTCCTGCACAGTGAGTGAGAAAGATATCTGTAGACATTTCGATGCATCCTCATGGTGCAGTTACTGTATCTCATTCCTCACATCTGTCCGAATCTCTCCCATTACACTTCCTTTTTATTTTAAGTGCATTGATGCTACCATCCAAGTCATTATAATGTGAATGGACGTCGCCGTTATTTAACAGCTCTGATCATTGAACAAACTGCTTGATGGATGGGGTTTGGTTGACACAATAGCTAAGCTCTTTAATAGAAATGAGCACAGTTGTTTCCTTTTTGTTGTCACTGTTGCCGAGATAACATTTAACCAATGCCTTCCAGTGTGTCAGTCATCTTTCGTGAATCAGTGGCTACACATAAAAACTCATTACCTCTTGCAATGGTGAAAGTGGTTGTAATGAGTTGCTAAACAGGCTTAGGTTGTCAACACAGGAAAAAAGTTTAAAAAAGGCTTCTGTGTGGGAGTGTGAACATAATTTACTGAGCACCTCTAATTACCCTTTTACACAGTTACACATTTCTACATTAAAGGAACATACCAGTGGTTGTGCATGGCTTAGCCCATTAACTGCAAATGGTGTGTAATGTGCATTTGACAACCATTTTCTGGAGTGTACCATAAATACATAAGTACATTCTAGGTGGCTGCTGGTTTTCACTCAGTATGGTAGAAAAATCAACTCAGAGACTTGGAACTTGCTTCAGATAGATAACCATCACAGTGAGCGTTCAGTAACATGTTTTTGTTTTTTGTCAAAGTCATTATTTGTTATTGACATTTCACTGCATTTTTTACAAAACAATGACAATGTTTCAATTACTTTTTTTCTTTATTTCACATTCAGAGAAACTGACATCTGAAAATTACTTGTTGGCTGCAGAACAGTGACTCTTTTATTAAATATATTTGAAAATCAGGTTTTTCAAAATCAGTTTGTCTAATTAAAATCATGATCTACTTTTCAAGAGGAACCTGAGACCAAGGAAAAATATTACTTTAAAAAGAGCTACTGAAATAAAATTATTGCCCTTTTGAGTTCACCTACAGCTTTGTATTTGTAGTCCGAGTTTGATATTCTGACAACAGCAGCTACTAAATTAAATGCTATTTGGATCAGATGAATTTTACGGAATTCAACACCAAGTCAGAGATTGTTCCTTCTTTTAACTGCATTAACAAACAACAATATTCATACATAATCTAAAAAGAACGGCCAACTAGGAGCAGGCAATATAGATAAGATCCTTTCTCACAGTATATTTAATTTCAAATTCTGATAATGATAGTAGTAGATAAGTATATTAGGATATAAAGTATTTATGGACACATGTCACACACGTCTTTTGGCTAATCCAGTGAATTACATACTTGACAAATTAATATAAAAATCCAATATTGCCAAGAATATTCCTGCTCATTAATTTACAACATTGTCCAAAATGGCTTGGTATGACCAGAGATATTAAAGTGATAACGATCTTGTGATAAACTCCATTACAAAATCATCAGGCATCTATAAATATTGATCAGTCAATCTAAAATCTAATCTAATCTAAAAAGAAAAAAAAGAGGTATGCAAAACATGCACACCTGTATAGTCCTTTTAATATAGCACATAAAGAGACACTTTGCTTATAATTAACAAGTTTTGAGTCATTTCTAATAAATCTGCCCAGTAACCATACCAGTCTCATATCAGGTGAACATTACTTTTTGGGTCAGTAACATTTAAACGTGTATTGTTGTTCACTCATTAAATCCAGTTGATAACAGAAGAATTTGTCTCTTTCCCAGTTCCCAAAGAGGGTCTGAAGAACCAGGCAGCGTTCGAGGAGATGAGGGTTAATTACATCAAGGAGCTCCGGCGTTCAGTGGGAAAAGCAACCAACAATTCTGGCCAAACCTGGCAGCGCTTCTTCCAGCTCACCAAGCTGCTGGACGCCATGCATGATGTAAGTACCCTCTTCCTGTCATGCGAGTCGCCTACAGTAGAGCACAGGCTTCCCTTGGCAGCCTCTCGGTATGCCATGCCTTCACACACAGAGCGAGGTGTTCATTGGCACTTTGGGTCTCTAATATCACAGGACATGTTTTGAGTAAAATGGCAGCATAGTGGATTTGGATAATGCATTTACTTAGCGGTTCAATGGTGCTGTGGCTTGGAATAAGGATTACTGCATCCCAGTCTCTCCCTGAGGGGGAGGTTATTTTGGAAGAGGCGTTGACCAGCCTGTATTGGTGAATGGAACAGAAGGGGATCAATGTCAGCTCTGGATCAGAGTACACAGTCGTCACTGTAGCAAATGTGCTAAATCACTGTTCTTCTTTTATGCACGGGTCAAACGGTATGTGGCATAACGACAGTGTAGGCAAAGCCCCAAGAGGTGAGAGTCAGCAAGCGAGAGGTCACTGAGATAAATGGCAAGAATTCAATGACTCTAATGACTGAGTGAATGGGGTTAGTGCTGAACGGATGACCCTTCTTTAAAGGAGGGTCGTTCAGAAAAAAATCAGTGGTGCCCCCAAGTGGTGAGCGAAAAATAATTGAAAGGGGGTCAGTGCCCCAACAGAATGTTAGTACAGTCATATGAATATACAGTAACTCAGTGAGTTAAATTCTCAATTTTTGACATATAAATAACATCCTAATAAAATAAGCAGCAATAAAAAGCTATGACTACAATATGTGTCTCATTAAATTGTGTGCTTGTGTTGTCCAGCTGGTGGGGAACCTGTTGGACTTCTGCTTCTACACCTTTCGTGAGTCCCAGGCCCTGAAGGTGGAGTTCCCCGAAATGTTGGTGGAGATCATCAGTGACCAGATACCAAAGGTGGAGTCAGGCCTCACTCACACAATCTACTTCCACAAGAAGTGACTTGCTTAACAGTTGGGACAGAAGCAGCATTAAGAACTGGAAGAGAGGAGGAAGAAGTTCAAGAACAGAGAAGAAAATGTGCAAGGAAGGCCTGGCCAGTTGGCCTGCACCCTGTCGCCCAGTATGCCAGCGTCCTCCTCTTGGATGGGAAAGTTAAGTGGCGTGGTGACAGAAGTAAAAAAAAGGGGATAATGATTTGACCCTGCAGTCACCGCGAGCGGGTCAGAGCTGTGAATAGTTTGTCGAGTCGAGTACGACACGGCGAGAAGGACTTGTGACAAATGTGACAAAGCATCCCGAAGTTCCCCCCCTGCCCCCCTCCCTGCCCCAAAGACAGTAACAGTATTTTCTATGGAGATAAAGCCATACATTTCTTAGGATGCGCTAGATACATTCACTGCGCACGCAGACACACACACACACACACACACACACACACACACACACACACACACACACACACACACACACTCACACACACACTCACACACTCACACACACAAATACACACACACACACACACACACACACACACACATATGTAGAGGGAAATTGATACACATGCTGTCCACATGCCTTCACACAAACGCACAGATGCACTCCACATGCACTAAAATCAGATTACAAATCTAGAGAAAACGTTTTTGCAAATATTAAATGTGGCTTATGCAGTCTTTCAAAATAATAGCACTACGGAAAAAAATATGCCAATACTTAGATTTTGCTTTGCAGTGTAGCAACATACTGCAAGACTACAGGGCAACGGAAGTTTTGAGGAGGCACAGAAATTCTGGACTGTAAGGCGAAAGGTCTATTTGAATATATTCCAAGGGCTATACAAGCGTTATCATAAGCTGGATAATTACATTAAATCTAACAAGTCCAAGTTTGAATCTCAATCAGTGTCATAACAGCCATCATTAACATTCACATACTGAGTTTTTTAATTAAAATATGTAGTAAAACAATCAAAACTAATATGCAAAAGTCCAAAGCTAAAGCCGTTTTGAAAAAAAAATGTCTCTCTTGTGTAAAGAAAGCTTGCACGTGAAGCTCCCATGTCATAAAGTCACTATTTTAGGCATTGTGGTGTAGAATTAAGACAATATTGATGAGCGATTTTACCTTTGTGCAAAAGTGGTCAGGAGTGCTGCAGGATGGAAAACATGCATTTACGGAGACAATTTCAGTAGAGTCCGCTGGTAATGGATTTGACTGAGGTGCATCCATAGTAATTGTGTTTTGTGTTATCTCCAGAGCAGCTGTCCAAATGTCTGTTTTTACTCACAATGAAGCAAAACCAGCCCTTTGTGAACCAACACTTATCTACTCTTCCCAGAAATAATAAAAAGCATTTTATAAAAGTGTGTTGCAAAGGTTTAGTTTTTGACAAGCCAGTCATTTTACATTAAGGTGCTTCATTTCTACAAAGCCAGGCAAAACATAACATGTACAGTAACTCGTAGGCAGTCCATACACAATACACTGTATGGACACACAGTTTAAACACACATACTCTGTAAAGTTGATATAATCCAAAATGGAGCATTACTCTGCAGTGCTTTCAGCAAATGGCTAATGTATCAAAACCAGGCAAATGTGTACAGGTATTAACAACTTCTTAAACACATTCTATTCAGCTGTTGTACAGATGATGTTTTGAGGTACATGTTGATGAATGCTTGATGAAGAACTGTTGGTATGATCACCTTTCCTAATTTAGATTATTTCCTTTATCTTATCTTTGGGCCAAGTACTACTATTTTAGGTATGGCAGGCCCAGTCATCTGGACCATTAACTTGTCTCACACCCCACTGGTTTCTGGGTGGTTGTGGAACACTACTATGATGCTACTGAAAAGCGATAGAGCCACTGGGGAAGAAAAACAGTGGGGGCGTGTGATTATTATTATTTTTTTGTGCCCTGTGTGTATGTATTTACATGTGTGAATGGAGCAAGTGTGGCTTAAGTTTGTGTTTGTGTGTTTGTGTGTGTGTGTGTGTGTGTGTGTGTGTGTGTGTGTGTTTGTGTTTTTTTTTCTGGCAAGCATGTGCATAGTTGATCTGCTCTTTCAGCGTGGGTATTATGCATTTATGTTATAGGATTAGCCGTATCCTATTTCCACATTTAGATTTGCACGGAGGAGATACAATGTGAAATGAGGCATTAGAGCAGCTAGCAGGAATTGTCTGTTTTGATAAGCAACTGTGATCATGCGGGAAAAGACTTTCTGCATGGTCACCCAGCCTAAAGTTAGACGACATGACATCATTAGCACAGCAGGGTGGTCGTGTACTGTATTTGTGGCCACAGCTCTTGTAGTGATGGCACTGTGCTGCATTATGAGGTCTCTTCTGTGGTGGTAATTGTGTAAAGATTGGTGTACAAAGAGATGGAGGTAGCGTGATCACAACTGTCACAAGGGACTGTACAAAAATTATTTGAGGTGTTCATAAAAGGGTGGTGGTGTTTTAAATTTTTTGTTCAAGGGTAGTTAAATTTTTTTGGGGGGGGGGAGCAGGGGAGGGTGTTTCAACTTTTTCTCATACCAGAATTATATTTTTTTTATGTATTCTGGGGTGAAAATATTATGGCGCTCAAGTCTATCAGCACCAACAGAGATGGCGCCTGGGCCTAGTCCACTCTTTCAGTGGCTTTTATAGACCTAGTTGTTTAGCCGCTGTTTATTCAAAAGTAGACACTGGCTGTATTTTCACTATTTTGTTATTTTTTTCGTAAATAAGTGATTTTGAGATAATATTACTTAAATAATTTAAAGGGTATTGCTCTTTTATAAAAAGAAATAAATGAAATTTTTGTACAGTCCCTTGTCAGAAAGGCCTCATTTTACAATCCGTCTTTTTTGTGCATTATTGTGTTCAAGTTGTGAAAGACCCTTAAGCTAATCTCTCACTGTTTCTTTATTTTGCCCCTTTTTTGTCCTTTTTAAGGAATAAAAAACTGTCTAAAGGTTCATAGGATGAATGGGAAAGTATTTTTGAGAGAATTATATTTTGCTGGAAAACAATATTTAAGTACTTTGTCTAAAAATGATATCCTTTTTGTAAAATGAAATGTTAATGCATGCTTTTTGATGAGATGTTTACATTGTATTTAAAAAAGGGAAACTTGTGCCTTTTTATCTCACCTGATTTACAATTTTACAGTATATATTGTAAATAATACAGCAAGTCCTTATGTTGAGTATAGTATAAAACATTTCTACTTTAACCATCTTGTTGGAATATTGGAAAAATATGTGTTTCCCACTCGCCATGTTCTGTGTGTTGGATCACAGAGAAGAATTTACAGTAAAGGTTGGTGCCAGAAAGGGCCAAATAGAGAAATGAATGTATCATACATTGTGAGAGACTTATGGAACTTACTACCTGAATGTTAGAGAGAGTACATTTATTATCTTCTTATTAAGTAAAGTTATTTGATTTTGCATCTTTTCTTTTTTTTCTTTTTTTTTTTTTACTTTTTGCATCATTGTTCAAGTGGCTCAGACAAAAAATAATAATAATCAAAAAGTATTTCTTATTTTGTAACAAGATGTATCAAGTGATGGATCCTTGAGTTGTTGCTGTTGATATGATTTCCTAACCCATGGAGGTATTGTTGATGAGCACCACAATAAAATCAAGAAATCACAAACTAATGAAGCTGGGATACGTGAAAGAAAGTTCTTGACTTTAAAATAGAAACTTTGTTCACACACAACATTAAATTAAATGATGGACGTAGACACTGTAGACCTGAAGTTTATCCAATTCAAATTGGACTGTTTTTGACCAGTTAATAACTAAATATTGCTAAAATAAGTTTTAATTATAAAAGAAACAAAATATGTCCCAAAGAATGATAATGTTAAAATAGTAAAATCTATTCACAGTAGACTCCTGGAAATGATGCCAATGTTATCAAGCCCCCGGACGACCCTCCCGTACTCCACAAATATAGGCTTTGGCTGCTGGCTTGATTGGATTTTATTAATTAATTAATGTTTTAAGGAATAGTTCAACCTTACAGGGAATACACTTTGCTTCCTTGTTGAGAGTTAGATGAGAAGATTGATGTCACTCTCACATCTATATGTTAACTATGGAGTTACTGTCAGGAGACTGTTGGCTGAGCTTAGCATGGTAAGGTAAGGTTAAAAACAATCTACCCCAGATCTTGCTAGCCGTTTCTCCCACTTTCCAGTCTTAATGCTAAGCTAAGCTAACTGTTCCCTGGCTGCGGGTTCATATTTCTCATACAGGCATGAGAGTGGTATCAATCTTCTAACCTTTTCGGCAAGAAAGTGTTTCTCAAATTGTCAAAATATGCCCTTAAACAACAAAATGAATCAACTGTTTATTTATTGATCATCAGTCACCACCTACTGCAAACAAGAAAATAAAAGGCCTTTCCCCGACTGGAGGGAGAAACATCTTAAAAGCTGCCTCCTGCTAAATTAACTCCTTTTAGGCATGGATGATTCAGAATGTGTTCAACTGCTGTTTCACAGGACACTTACTATCGCGTCACTGTATGTCGAGGCACGTCATTGCCATTTTCTGTACACAATGATGAATCGGGTGTAGAGAGACTAAGCCATATCTCCACGGCCATGGCAGTGCATTTCTTATGAATATATAAATATATACAAATGCTTTTTTTCCAATTCCAAAAATGACTTTTTACTCAGATGCTTTGTACAATATTTCTCAGCAACTATCCAACAATCATACAGTAGACATCCTTCAACATAAACCAATAAAACATCTTTGAAACCAGTTACTACTGTATATCTTGATGCAGATATTGCCATACTTGTGTTTGCAAAACTATTGCAAGATTCTAATAAAACTGTTAAACTGATAATTTGATGTGATTTAAGTTTTCTGTTTGTGTATGTCTGTGTGTGTGCGCGTGGTGAAAATTCCACCATATGACAGAAGCTAGGAAACGTGCCCTAAAAAATGTGCTGTTTGATGTGGATGAATTCGAAACAGCTGCATTTGGTGGCTGGGGAGGATAATGAGCCAAAAAACACAGAGTTAGCATGGAAAAACAGAAATGATGTGGAGCAGCAGCAGGTACAGCAGTCACAGGGAGAGGAGATGAAGAGAACAAAGACAAACGGAAAGGGAAGAGAGTAAAAATGACAGAGATAAAGCATGCAAGGATGAGACTTTTACAGTAAAACGGCGCCTGTGGAGAAAAATCACCATTAACCTTGTTAAAAGCTGATCTGAAAACACGCCTGCTTTGCCAGACTGTAGAGCAGACAGTATTACTTTTTTTGCTCATTTTTTTTTCTCTCTCCGAATCCACAGCCCTTTCCAAATCTCCCCCAGATTTCCAATTGCTTTCACTTGTAGTCGTGCCAGATAAACAGAATCTATTGGATCAGGCTGATTTCACGGCTGCGCCCGCGCACATGGCGGCTTCTGTGGCCCACTCTCTCTCCCCCCCCACACACACACACACTCTCTCTCCTTTATGTTTGAAATTCACTTTTCTCCAAATTCCCACTCAGTTTTCACCCCCAATAATACATCAAGTCTTATTATGATTATATATTTCAGAAGCTTTGTACTCTGAAGGAACCAGACGAAGACACGGGAACGTATTAAGTTAGTGTTACATCCAGACATGTACGCTTGGGACATTCAGGCACATTTGTGGCACTTAGTTGTGTCATTCTCTCATAGTTAGAGGTAAACTGCTGTAGGCTTTGATCTAAGCTGAGTCACCGTGTGGGACTATGTTATGGGGCTGAAGGACACTGCGTCATGGGAGGCAGAGGACATCTGGCACACTGCCAGGAATCTGGGAAATGAGAAATGAAAACGTCCATCTGGATTTTTACTCGAACACACTTACATCTAGTCCAAATGGACACGGTCACACTGATGTATACATCATCCCAGACTGATAGACGGTGATGCATAATGCATGCAGAGACACAGAAATCACCACGGTAACACAACTTCAATCTCAAGTGATATGAAGGCAGCTCACAGGTCTCAAATATGAATCTGACCTGCCCAGATTTTACCACTGTTGTTCATTCTGTCATATTCCCAAGTTTAGGAGAAAAGATTAAGTGATTTAATTAAAAAATAACTATCGGAGCACCAGAAGAGAAGTGGAGCGCTGACTGAGGAGCAGAAGAGGAAATGGAAAAAGGAGGAAGGCAAGGAGGAGAGCGACAGCAAGAGGAGTTTTAAATACTCCTGAGACACAGACAGGTAGGCAGAAGAAAAAAGGGAAAAGGAAGGCAGATAGAGCAACATGGCACGCTTTCTGACAGACAGTCCAAAGCAGAGTGAGAGGCAGGCAGGGTGGATGTCTCTATGATTCAGCAGTATTCTGGCAGAGGGAAGATGATGATGAAGGGCCCAGGCGGTGGGTGGTGGTGGTGGTGATAGTGGGGGAATATTTTGCCTATCTCATTAGCTCTGCCTCATTTCATTATGTAATCATGGCGTCTGCACTTGCTTCAGGGAGCCGGTGGACATATGTGTCGCACTGAAACCACAGCTCCAACCTCTGGTATTTTCAAAGTGGACAAAGTGTGCGTGTTTACACTTCTAAATAGTGCATCAGCCCACTTACTGGAGGTCTTAGTGTGGTGGTGGACTGATGGTAATTATGTAACTGAAGCCAAAGCACAAGGTCTGGAGGCCATTTGGTGTGTTAATTACACAGATGTAGTCTAAGAATTAACATGCGTGAACCTCTGATGTTAATGGATCAGGGAGGTGGAGGTGGATTAGTGTGTTTGCCTCTGTGAAAGATTACATCTATTTTTAATTCCCTTTTGGAAAGTTATTTTGGAAGTAGCTTTTAGTCAGATGGACCAGTGCAGGTCAATATAAAGAGGAAGGGTTATATTACACTACATGGACTCACTGTAACAGTACTGGCTGCAGAATGAATCCTCATTTCAATAGTCACTTTATTCTTAGACTCTGTGGGAAATGGGGGGCCTTCTCAGTGACACAATAGATGAGTCATGAAAAAATTAGACACAGCGCTAGATTTCACATTGGTAAAACTAGACACATTTCCCCAAACATAATTTTAAAGTACAGACACTTATTATCAAGAAAATGTGGCCGTAAAAGTACTTTCCTTCATTGTCCTGTGTCTTATTTTGGAAAACAAATGCAATCTGAAGATAATGTTTGGAGAAAACATTTTTTTCATGCTAATAAGTTGTAAGACTTCAATCTGTTAAATTTTAAATGTTCATTTGTCACATTTATTTTATGGCAAGAATACATAATACAGTAAAGAACAGACAAAACTTTATTTGTTTAACATTGATCAACAGAATACCCAAAGGTATAAAAAGAAGTCAAGGCCCTTTACAAACATCATAAATCAGTGTCTTAAATTATTGCAAACACAGTCTGCTGAACCAAAGCTCTCCGAGAAATTAAAGTGTCTTATTGAACAGCGGAGGGATGAATTGTAATGGGACATGTGTACATGCTAGACCAAATGAAAACTGTCCATCACTTAACGGAGACGTGTAAAACATACTTGGTAGTCATAACTCTACATACACTGAACAGATGTAAAACTTTGAAATACTGCATTTTGTGTTCTAACTGATAATAAAACTTTCTGATTGTGATTTCTGATCACTTATTCCTCTGAAGTTGAAGATAAAATAACGATAAACTAAAATTACAACTTTGTGGGAGTGTATCATTTCTCTGCTCAGAGGAAACTGAGCAACGTTTAAAATAAGCTTTAAAAACAAACAAAAACAGATCCTTTGACAAGAAAAACACTTGGTTTAAATCATTACCTCTGCTGACTCTCTGATGCTAGTGTTTAACACAAGAGGTCCATTAGGCATCAAAGAGGCGTTTTACTGTGTTTCTGTAAAGGAGTGCACCAAGAACAAAACAGTACAGAGTGTGTTTAAAATTCAAAAGTCATGCAATCAATGTGCCAATTAAATTAAATACAATTACAATAGTGATGTGCCTCATTTTGACTGTCCAAATATTCTTAAAATGACAGAAGAATACAACATTTTAAAAGCTAAAGCAGTAACACTCCAATTCGTTTTCATATAAACCTGTACATACATTTACACTGGGTGTAACGCTGATAGTTGAGGCACGGTAGGTACAGTATCTCTAATCTTTTAAAAGCTGAAAACAAACATTGTTAAGAGGGTCTAAAGCTACTGAATTTGGTGCAAAATATCTTAAAAAACTGATTACAGTGATTTGAATTCTGACATTCCTTGATCCTTACAGTTTCTGAGGATCATTCTTTGACTTTGGGTGCTCATGGATACCATGTATAACTAGGGGAGAGAGGGAGGCCTTTAACAGAGAGGCACTCATTCTCTGGTGCTGCTAACAAAGTTACCTGAATGTTTAGAGGCTACAGCATCTTTGTATACAGCATAATATTTTAAGTGCAAACCCATTTTGCTATTACAACGATGAAATTGATGTAGTAAAGTAAATTCAAACAAAGAAACATGCTTGCACATGCATCACAAAAGTCTACTTGCCAGCCAAAAATGCATATACTTGTGTATCAAGAATAGTCCAACAGTAATAATATATTGTCACTTGCTTGAGAGTATTCAGGGACTTGGATAAACAAGGCTCTACTGTGAATGTCAGAGTTGAGGCACATGCATTCTCCGCAGATTTTTCCAGGTGGATGTAATAACTTGTCCATAAATATTTCCATTTGAGGCTACAACATCTCCACGTAGTTTTCAGGGATGAGGCCCCTCTTTCCCTCCAGCTCGCCCTCCAGCCAGCCTGGCTCTCTCGACTGGGTCACTGCAGGAGAGGACACAGCGTCAATGGGGGGGACAACACCACAGGGAGGGTGAGGGTGGGGGACAGACAGAGGACACAGAGTCCTCCAGTGAGTATACAGTATGTGTCAGAGTGAGCAGAGCGCAGGTCTGAAGAGGATACAGTAATGATGCGGTTGCACTAAACTCCACTTCGACTCATTTTATCTTTACTGTACATCTCAAGTCGGTTTTTGGATCCAATTTTTCTAGAATTTCAGCAGCAAAACGGTGCTCTCACAAACCATTTAGTGTGACAGATGTGTCAGAGCTCTGTGGCATGCCTTCTCAAAATCCTCCCAAGATTCTTTATTTGTCTCCAAAGTGAGCCAATTTAAAATTTTGAGTGCATTTGTGAGTCAACAATTGCATGGATAAATTGTCGGTGAGAACTTCTAAGGCCAAAGTCAAGATATAAACTAATTCAATACTTCATACTTAATTCCTTTTCTCTTGTAACATGTCTCAGCCTGCCTCAGGGCACAAAGAAATGTGTTTACGAGTCCACTCTTATCTGTCTATTGAACAAGGACAAGAAACATAAAAGCCCAATCTTTCATACAGGTATAGACAAAAGAGTTGACATGCCACCAAAATTCAAAGCACATGATTTGAACCAGCTTTTTATTTCTAAATTGACTGACAGATTTTCTAATATAAGGGCTACCAAAAGAATACAACCCCATTCTGCATGACTAATGTTTTCTCAGGTTGTTAAAGGTGTTTTATATCTGTTTGTCCCAATTAGAATAAATTTAAATACACTAGAATAAGACTTGTCTTTTCAATTTTGATCAAGTAAGAAACAAAGACCCCCAACTTTATATGCACATGCGCATAGTACAATAATAAACTTTCATTCCCCTACTGCTATGGGGTTATTTTAACAGACATTTTTAGGAACAACCAATTACAAATTTCACCTTTAAAAAAATAAATAAGCAAGATAGTTTCAGTTTTAAGGGTGAGGAGGCATCAACATACTGTAATCTTTCTTCAGACAAACTGTATGTTCAGCAGCTTGCTCAAGTATTCAGACCTCTTGACCTTTTGCACATTTTTTATGCACACAGCTCAGACTAGAAAGTCTCAAACACATTTAGAAATAACTGAATAGTGCGGCAAAGTATACAACATGTCAAGCGTGCTCAAGATACTGTTAATGTTTAGTTAATGAGAACCTCATTATGTAACGTTTATGTAACATGTCAATCACTTAAATTGATGGCTGATTAAGTGAAGAAGGACAGACAGAATGAAAGCAAAACTTACTAAAGCTCCCCAGATTTTGTATCAAGGTAACTGGAGATTTAAGTTGAGATCCAAAAGAAACACACGTCATCGTTCAGTAATACTTTTACTAACAAAAGGGTTAAGCTGCAAATGAAATTTTACAATAAGTGTGGGCTAGAAAATAATTTAATTTACTTTATGAAAATGTGATACTTCATTCATTTTCGTGTTTATTATTATTCAGATAATATAAGTTCATATTTAGGAGTTGGAAAACCACCTTCTATTAAATTGAATTTTGCCATCGTAGGCATTTATCCTGACATGAACTCTTTCAGCCAACAATGGAACATTGATGGCTTTAATGTACAGGCAGAACAAAAGGGAATACTGTGCATACAGTATATAGAAAGATGATTAAGGGGAGGTTTCCATTGTCTAATCTATATGTATTAATGGCAGCTGTCAGATTTGAACGTTTAGATCGTAACATCTTTAAAGGGAGATGGTTTATTTAAATCTGCAAGACAATGGAGACTAACGATGACAAAAAAATATTTTTTTGACCATTTAGGTTGAAAGAACAAGAAAAGAACATAACAACCAATACACTGCAGTGCATTGTGGGGTCTTATCAAAGACATCACCACATGTTTCCCTGCAAAGACTATAGTATCTCTATAGTGTCTGTCTCACAAAATAGGGTTTTGACAAAAAATAGGAACTACAAAATCCTCATTTCCTCTGAGAGTGATTAAAGCTCAGTCGAGCCTCTTCCAGACGCACTGAAGAGCAAATCTGTGTCTCCTATCCCCCTCCTCCCCATTCTCCCTCTCCTCGTCTCATCTCTCTGTTCGATTGAAGATCAGATTGGGTGTTCGGTTTTCCTCCAAATCCAATATGCCAGGGCTGGTTCTGAGTGAGCGACTGGTGTAGGCGATAACACTTACCGGCGTTGAATATTGCACCGACCTGGAAGGAGAGCTCAGAGTCGTGCTCAGCCTCACATGGGTACACTGCCATGGCTTTCCTGCTGGTGACACTGAAAAATGAAGGCAATCAGTGAGCTGGCGGAGCTTTGGGGAGGATTACCGCACAGTTCAATCTGGGCCCGGGGCCTTCTTGTTCATTCACTCACTAGCCTGAAACAGCAGAAATGGGCCAGGCTTGAAAATAAGCAAAAGTACCCAGAGAGGAGCCGGGCCACTACACACTCTTGTCTTGCCCTATCTCCAGTCTAGACAGACTAGCGAGCAAGACAAAACACAACCACATGCACCCGTGTGCGTGCACAAACACAATGAGATGCAACGCTGTTTGTAGCAGGTTTTGTACAGCCGAAAAGGCAGGCACACATCAGGTCCGCACAGCAGACAACCATCTATGGTGAGATAATTAAAAAGTGGCGGGGGGATTCTAAAGTAGGTTTTCACACAAACAGAGGTAGAATAGAAATCTCTCTCCACTGTGCTTCAGCTTTTAAATTCACATTTGTGAGCTTAGAAGCCGCATTTTAAATCAGTTTGATGTAAAAGAGCGCTGTCAAAGAAACCATATTCATCGCTCTGCAAAGGTTAGTAAAAAGCCGCATTTATATGCCATTGCGTTCCCGAAAACATAAAAACTGTTTCCACAGAAAGGTTGTTTTGCTCGCCATTGCAAACCGTTATCTTGAATGCCAGCAACATTACCATGTAGAAGTTGTGCCTTCAACACACGATGCCCTGATAAATATTTCATATTCTTTCTGCAGAGCAGCAACAATGTAGGATGAGAGAGGAGAAAGAAGATATACAAACTGAAAAAAAAAAGTTTGCGGTCACAGAGTTGTCAATACAACAATGTTCAGCCGAGTTCTTGAATTCAGAATTTTGGAAGAATGCACTCTTGTGGAACCGCGTTTGGAAAAATGAGGATTTGTATTTATACGAAAATAACATTAATGGATTGCCCATAGAATGAACGAGCTGTTTGCAATTTCCTCTGTAACAACTGAAAGCAATGAAAATAAATTCAGCATTTATTCTCAAGGAAGCGGAGCAATAGATGAGTGTAACGTGCAGAGTGTACACAGTCCCATCCAGTTCGCTCAGATACCTGTGTGTGTGTGTATCCCGGGTTTGACAGAAAGGGGGAGAAGGTTGCTGCCCCGGCTTCAGCCAACACTTGTGTTTCATTTAGATCCCTCAAAGGTAAACCAAATTAAGGGCGGGTGAATATGTGAGAAAGTCAGGGAAAATATTGACGTGCAAGACTGCAAGGAGATGTTCGACGGGAGAGGGATTCTTGTTGGGTGAACATGCAAGATAAGAAGAGCAAGCGAGTAATGGAGCAAGTGGGTGAAAATGGAATGAAAAGAATCTCTGAGTGTGACATTTACCCAGTTTGAGTGTGAAAATGACTTAAAGAAACAGAAATAAAGGACAGGGGAAAAAGTAGTGGACTGCAATTATAAAATCCTATTGGGAGGAAAACAGGCAAAGAACCCAAAAGAGAGGGAACCCTGTCTTACCTCTCCTCAGGCTTTTCTTTTTCAGAAGCAGCTGTGTTGGCAGCAGATTGACTCTCTCCTGGCCCTCCAAGAGTGGACCAGGAAGTTCCTGCTGTGGGGGCCCTGCAGATAAAAAAAATAATAACTTAGTCACTACAGATTCTGTGTGCATTGATTGAAAAGATGGCCTATTTGCCCTGAAGACCATTTTTTACTTTAGATTTAAAAATGAAGAAGACTTCAGCCTTCAAATGTCAGACCTGGTGGCTTTTCAGACGTTTACCAAGAAAAACAGATGCTGTGTTTTCATACATTGTGGTGGAAACAGAACAACAGGTAAACTGAGCAACCTGTTGTTATGGAGACAAGGTGAGAATGCATTTCTACAACAATCCAAAGCCTTGTGAATTAAATTCAGACCAAAATTTGCAATGGGATGTGGCTTTGTGAGTGGTAGATCTTGACACCATCCACAATCATCATCAAGACTCCAGATGTTCTGTCACTTATGCTGTGACATTCATGTTCTGAGTGTCAAAGTTAAGTCAGAAATGACTTTACTTACTATGATAAAGTTACATTCTAAAATTTGAATAATATATCTTACAACACACTTGACAAACAAACATATAAATTAATTATCCATCTTATTTAACTGTACAGCAGCTACATGCAGGAGGACTTGCACTTTGATTTCTCATTGTGTGCAGGGTGTACATTCATCCCAATAACAAGGACAACAGGCTTCTATAAATTAAATAATCCATTCCACTTCATCTGCCAAAGAGCCTCTTCAAAAGGACTCAACAGTAGTCCATATTAACCTGAAAGGTAAGCATCAAAAGCAACTTTGATATATTTATCTGAAGGCATGAAATTTAAAGTCATACAAATAAATGAATTTAACCATCTGTATCATAGTTATGAAACTTGTTGTGCTCCAGAACTAAAGCCAGCTAGTAACATAATTGTGAGATTAAGCAGCTAAAATCAGATTCTCAACCCCTATGCTCAACTCAGATTAAAGACCTAAATCAAAATAAAAGGAGTCATGAATTTAACAGAATTCATGAATTCTGAAGGATTATTCATACATTGGCCAATTATTTAAAACTGTAATTCAAACCTGTATGCAACCACCACTCAGAGTGACATCAAAAGAATGAACCCTATTGATACAACAATTCTGCTTTTGACTTTAGACGAAAACATTAAAAACCATCCTGGATCATAGAAGATAAATGAATATCCCAGTCATTATCATTCATGCTTGTAATGTACAGACAGGTGAGAAACTAAAGGAAAAGTTTGAATAAATGGAACACAAAAAAGTCTAGCCCCATAAACAAGGCAAAAGAAGTCACTGAACTGTTTGATGAGCTTGAAAATGATGCGAATCATACGCTGTGGTCTTGACAGTCATCAGATGTCAACACAGTGGAACACCTATGGGAGATTTTGATCTGCTTTTGACATGTTTGACAGCTCTCTCCACCATCATCAACAAAACTCCAAATAAGGGAATATCTTTTGGAAAAAAGGGTGTCCCTGTTCCAGAGATTTGTAGAACATATGCCAAAGAGCCTACATTCAATGCCCACTTTAATGTATAAAACTTCTGTATGTGTAAAGTCAAACACTTACACTCCAAGACCCCGACCATATGCTTTATCTGTGACAGTAGTAGCTGTGCTTTACACTGGCTGGTGTCAGGGCCAACGAGTCTATGGCTGATCTACAGGATGGAGGTAGGGGTCCTGGTAAAGGCGGAGTGGAGCAGAGCAGAGCAGGAGTCTAAGCCAGGCATCCCTCTGTGTTCCATGCCTGCCCCAGGGCCAGTGCTAATACAGTACATAATGAGCAAATTGCTCCTAGCTGCCGCTCCCATAGAGACGTTAATAAAGGCAATTAGAGGGAGCAGTTGGGGAGGGGCTGGAGGTTGAGAGGATGTTGTGAATAGTTGTCACATTGGCACTGGTGGAAGAGACAGAGCAAGACAGCCTTAAGGGGGAACATAGTAGGGGATCTTATGTGGACATAGGTGGAGGTGAATGCACAGTACAGAGCTCACGCTTCCATTTCCCCCTCTGCAACGCGTTCTCCCTCAATTTCTTCCCCTGCTTCCCTCTCAGTGCACTTGTCCATCCCCAGCGGTGGCTGTTCTGTTCGGGCCTGGCCTGACTGTGGGTGATTTATAGCTCTGCAGCAGTGTGGGGCCACTGTGGTGCTCAGCTGCTCCACATCAGCATGGGGGGATAGTGCGCTGCAGTGCAGCAAATCCACTCATTAACCTGGGCCCAGGCACAACCACTGTCTGCCTGGGTCACAGCCAAGAGAAGGGAGAGCAGAGGAGCACCAACACTTCACCCACCTGCAGGTGAACCCACTCAGATACACACAAAAAGCCCAAAATACAATCAAATTAAAAACAGAAAATGCATGCAAACACACATATTATAGAAAAGTTAACATATCAAACTGCTTAATTCAGCTGAAAGAAGATTATACAGATCTGTGAAGATCTTTAAAATAAACAGATATCTAAATAATTATAGAAATAAACAGTTAGGGAAAATCAGTGAATGCCACATGGCTGCCCTAGAAACTTGTTAAATGTACCAGAGGTAAATGGATTCATCCCAAAATTGCTTTCACAATTATAGCTAAGCCAAACCGAGGGAAATCGTTTGCCATTTCTCTTCAACAAAAATAGCATCAAGCTTTGAATTGCTCATCCGTTGTTTTTACCCATCACAGGCACTAGCTAAGCTTCTTCTGTAAACATGATTAAATACAGTAAATGGGGACTCGTGTGAAAATGCACTGTATGTAAGGCACACATGAAAATCCCTCTCCAGATGTTGGTAACATTCATAAGATTTTAAGAATACTAAGTTTTACTTATACATATTATCCAGCAGAAATTACATCATTATATATACAAAAAACATCATGAATTCCAAAGTTAACTGCAACTGAAGGTCTTTTAGTTTATTATTTTAGCCATCAGGGTTATCACATTATCACATGCTGCCAGGTTAGTAGCAGGGAGAAATTCATCAACAGAGGTGGACTGCTGCTTCTCATTACTGTAGGAATTTCACCCTGCAGCATCCAGGCCTCGCTGATCCTGGCGTGGAGCTAACACGGGGATGAGCGAGGCTATCAACTGCCTTTCTACTAAAGGAAAAAGGGCAGCAGTGGGATTTTGTAGTGTTTCTAGTAAAAAGTGGGATCAAACCTACAGCCAAGCTGCCCGTCCAGCCTCCGCCAGTTTGGGTGGGCAGGAAATAACCTCTGATCCACCATTTTATGATCCACAGCTGTCTGCCAGCGAGAGGCATGGAGGGTAGGGCAGGAGAGAAGGAGGAAAAGTGGCCAAAAAAGGTAACATCATTGGGAGGGACTTGGGGCAACAGTACCACTGGGAGAAGCTGTGACTGAATTTAGGCAGAAGAGGAGAAATGAGGCAAGACATCGAAAACGACGGAAATGATAAATCATGCCACAGTCCACAAAGAGTTATTGCGTGATATAGTGAGTCAGGATGCATTTGTGTATGACCAGGCAGATTTTGCTGCAGCTATCTTGCAAGAAATAATGTAAAATATATGCTGTATTCCAGGTGCACTTCTGAGCAGACCAGAGTGCAGATAATACATTTCTGCAAGTGGCTGGAAATAATCTAGCAATTGCCATCCCTACTGCTCTTTTTGGCTAGGACTAAAGCCGAATCCCTGGGTTCCAGGCCAGAGAGGTGCTGTGCTAACAGGTCTCCACCATCTCACATGCTAAGATTTATGAGTGAACAAAGCCAGGGCGACACCCTGTGACATATGGCGCAAGTCTTCATAAAGGGACAGGGGCTGCGGCTATAAGGGTAAACAAGATGAATATCTCCCCAATGTCAATACGATTTACACGGCCAACGCTCGGCCACCTGTCTCCCAAACAAATAAGAGCTGAGATTTACGACCTCCTCCTGGTTGCTCCTTCCGTCCTCCAACATGATGCCACATATGTGGGAAAGCAGAAAAAAAAAAAATAAATACCCACAGGGGAAAAAAAGGAGTTGGTTACGTAAGTAATATACAGCCTTGTCTGTCTAATCCTGCAACTTAGAGAAAACGCTTGATACAAACATGCCTACACACAGGTGGGCACACACCCACAGAGGTCAAAGTGAGAGAGGAATCACATTGTCCTCTGTCAAGTTGCAAGAGCGGATTTGTTTTTATTTCACAGCTCTTTTCAGGCGATGGAGAAGGAGAAGGGGACAGTGAATGAGAAAAAGTCTATTTCAAGGTGAATCTGTAGACATGACACAGCAGAGAGTCTAACATCTGCAGCATAACCCAATAATTCATCTCTCACATCAGCATTCAAGACAAGTCACGGGCTGGAAACAACAAAAAGGACCAAGGACTTAGTAGAGAGAGTGAGGACAGAAAAGAAAAGCCAGAGAGAGGCAAAGCATCGACTATTGACGCATTTTCTATCTAGTTCTAGTACAAGAGACAAAGACAAACAGTTGACATTTGACTAATAGCATAAACATCAAGGCTGAAGCTAAAAATGTATTTCACTTTCGATTCATCCATTGTTTAATTTTTAATTAACTCATAAATTACTTAGCGTATAGAATGTCAAAAATGAAGAACAATTTAGATGCTTATTTTCTATAAATCTAAGTGAATTCACAATATTCAAAAACCTTGTTCGTTAATGATAATGACAATAATAATAAATACTCGTTTTACCAGAGCAGGAAAGACAAACTGCGTCGCAACTTGACATTGCAGTAAAATTTAACTGCTAAAATGTATTCAACTGGTCAATCTACAGTGAGGGCAAGATGCATTTCCAATTTAATAATCTCACAGGGAACAGGGAACAAAATTTAAGAGCCACTATTTTCTGGCTCTTATTGGAGTGTGCTGCATATTAATATACTTTAGGAAGGATTTACCTCATAATTTTATTCTGCTGCAATATGAACCATAACTAGCAGTTCAGGTCGGCCATGAGTAGCAGGTCATTATCAGTTATTATATTGGCTGAAAAAAAAAAAAAACTTATCGTCGTGCATCCCTACAAAATAGTGATCAAAATATTCAATTAGAATATTTAAATTACTTATTAGTTCTATTTGCAATCCATACAGTGCACATTCATATGTAAACCATGTTCACTCACTTATGACTTTGTTCACTGCGGATCCACTTGCCTCACAACAACCAATACCTGCACTGTCAGCTGTGTACAGTAACATATTGAGCATAGTGAACCCCTTACTTGGAGTTGCTGCCCGAGCTGAGGCTGGTGCTAAGTGGGGCATGGTCACTCCTCTCTATAGGTGTCTCCGAGGTCGAGGCTGACGATGACTGGGAAGATACGGACTCATTGCTGCCCATTGATGTCTCATCAGGAGTTAGGCTGGAACTATCTCCCACTGCTGACACACACACAGAGACACACACACACACAAAAAAACAGTGTTTGGTTTAATTACAGTCTTTCATTAATTTTATTCTACTGTAAAAGATTCAGCCTATTCCAACCTACTGATGATAGCTTGCCTGATAAAACCGCTGAATAATTTATCAATACATAAGGCATTGCTGCATCAACAGGGGATTTTGTAAATCAAACTACTGTCAAAACAGGCGAGACTTAGAACCAAGTTTTTATTGTTCATAATAATACACTTCTGCAGTTATAGACAGGAACCTAAAAAACACAAGGGAGATCCAAGCTCTTTTATTTCAATTTTACTGTCAAGTAAAGATCCTGCTTTTGGGAGATGGGAGAAGCACCGAAGCAACTGTTGATGTTAAAAAAGTAGTTGGTTTGGAGCATTTCTTCTTATTTCCCCAGCAAACACAAACATATCAAAGCACTTAAACCAAAACCCCATACTGAATTTAGATTGAACTAAACTGATGCTGGGCTTATAGCCTAATAATATTAACAAACTAACTAACAATTTTTGCTGAGCAAACCTGAGGAAGCTGCAGGCGAAACACATTGTTTGCTCCTAAATAAATCACAGTTGAGTCATTCCAGTATGTAGATTCATTTTGATGTTTTAAACTTACTAACAATATTTATGCATAGAATAGGCATAGCTTATTGGTGCTATGCTGGGAATTATGTGAGATTGCCAAACTTCCTGAACAAATATAAATGACAAAGGTGTAATCCCCCCCCCCACAGGTACAACAGGAGTGTCAATCAAGCATAGTCTCTGCAGTCACCCACACAGTCCTAAGAAAGGTCCCAGTCAGGCAAAATAAGTGAAACACCTGTGCGGGTTGACCATCAGTGTGTAATGCTTAGATTCCACTCTAAAACGTTAAATCGGTTTCTAATCTAACCAGGGCCTTTCAGTCATTTCACAGCATTTACATACCTGGAAAGAAAAAAAAGTCACTGCATTTGACCCATCCTATATACATTAGCAGCGGTGGGCAGCCATAGGCTGGGGTTCAGACGTTCTTACGTCTAACTCTGCTCTGTGCAGCCTGACACAGCTTATGTAAAAAAAAAAAAAGACTCAGTGTTATCAGCCTGGTGGAATCAAGCAGTAGGACCTGGTTTTGTGTATTTTGTTTGTTTTTATGGTTTGTAGCTCTTTCTGGAAAAGTCAAATCTGTTACCATTTTCATGCTTTAGGTATTTTTTTAGGCATCCCTATTATTCACTAGTAAGCCTCTGCCAACTTTGTTAATACTTTGTTCTGCTGTTTCTAGTTCAGCTCAATTTTTTAGCATATTGAATGCATATGAAAATTTAAAGTGGCTAGAATTGATATTTATATAACAACCACGTATCAAATACAGTGCTGGTGGTGCTGTGCTACAAAAGTAACAATCTAACAATGTGAAAAAGGTCACTCAGAGTGATAAATGAACAAAGAATTTGGTTAACTTTCACTGCTCTCATCATTTTCGACTGTGGCAGGCAGCTGTTTTGAGCAGAAACGGAAAAAGCTATCGACTAGCTGGTGAATACAGGGGAGCCCAAGAGCCAGGTATTTCTGTCAGGAGTTGGTAGAAACCAAAAACAGAGCTAAAAGAAATTAAATATTGGAGTTACATTCTCCAAGGGGCCAGAAACATGACTCTAAGTTGATAATGTTGCTCTGTTAGTGCCGAATGATTAAATTAGCAACTATTTGCTAAGAAGTTATCTTAGATAGTGATAACATGTAGATGTAGTGTTTACAATAATCAATACATATATAACTGATCTGAAATCATCATACTAAAATATAATTTGTACTTCTACTCTGATTAATGCACTTCCCTATACATGCTGTCACGTCTGCAGGCATATTGGACACATTCAGCGTCACAGGTAGACTGACATGCATACATAACCACTCTTCCCTCTTTCTAACTTCATTGTCCTTAAATTTGCTTTTACCCACTGAATGCTGAGACAACTTTAAAACCATTATGTGGGACTCATATAAAAGACACAAAGGTTAAAAAAGGATTATGCCTTTCATCCCTGATATTAAAATACCCCACGATAAAAGCTGGCGCGAGGGAGGTAAAGAGAGGCAATCTGGTAAGCAGATTTAGATTCCTTTTGAATTGTGGAGGGTAAGGGATTTGGCTGGCCCCGGATCAGAAATTTCTGGAGTTAGATTGTTTGGGTCACCAGGTCAGGTGATCAGCTCACCTGATGCACAGGAGAGGGCCCTTATCATTGTCTCCCTTTTTGTCGAGTGTCTCAGGAAGCTGAAGTGAATTTTAAGCATTTTAAAATAAACAAGGGCAGACAAAGTCATAGATGCAAATCTCTCCACACAGCATTACAGAGAGGGTGCGACTGAGTTCAGTGTGTCATCTGTAGCCACCGCTGTGGTTCTTAGTGGTGACTAGGGACCAGACAGACTAACGAGTGAGTGAATGGATTCAGAGCAGAGTAGGAATCAGGGTCAAATACACTAAGTTGTCATATTATTAGGTACACCAGGCTTAAGTACAGTCTTGCAGTCTGCTACAACAGCCCTGCAATAGATCCAACCTGTTCTGTTTTTGTTTTAGAGACGTGTTGACTCAACTGTATGGTAATTTTGTAGTATAATTAGGTATATCCGATAAACTGGCAACTAAATGTATTTTAACAATTAGTGCACTAAAGTTTTTTATATGTAATTTAATAACAATTAAATTTAAATTAAAATGAACAACTTGCAAACACAAATAAGCAATTAAAACCCTTGAATTGCCCTAAATTTGTGTGGGATTTGAAAATGTCGGACTCTGGCGGCCCCCACTGGTAGTATCACAAATACTAAACACTATGGCAGACAGCAATACACACTGTGACAAATAAACAGTCAGGTCAATTTAAATGGGCAAATTGCGTTTAATACATTGCAGTTTAATATTAGTGTAGTATAGTATAGTTTTATTTGGATGTTGGACTGAGATAGGTGATGATAGTCTTTAGCCTTCTCCAAAACTAGCTAGCTTCATAACTCTCCAGGGACCTAGCGACATTCATGAAAAATAGCGTGACATACAAGCTTTTGTTAATCGACTTACTAACTGTAACAGCTTTGATCTTTGTGAAAAAAGTTATGCTAACTGCTCCTGGCAACTGCTACTGCTACTGCAGCTTCAGTATTGACTCAAAATGACATCTGTGGGATGAATATGTCACTCGCTACTGACTGATTACGGCAAAACAGAATACCAACATGAATGGGACATGGACACAATGTCAGGATGAAATAATGAAGCAAAACAATTATGCCAATTCATGTTACCTGTTTGCAGATAATGTTATGTTATCTTTGACATTTTTTAAACAGACATAGGATAACATCTGTTCCTGAAAGATGAGTGTGAACAAGTGAACAGAACATTAACAATCTACCTACATCTTACAAACAAGTGTTAATTTGGGAGCATGAATTACTAATTAGTGCAATCATAATTCTGTGAGATGTTATAATGTATACTCAAGTGCCTTTAATATTTTCAGAGGTTTGAAATTATACAGGTGCACATGTGTATGTCTCTTACCATTCTGAATGTCTAGGGCTTGTGGATTGTAGACAGCCAAGGGCCGATTCTGTCGACTCAGCTTCTTGGACTGCCTTGCGGGAGCAGAGAATACTGGGGCAGCAGGTGAAAGAGGGCATGACTCGGGAGCATCTGCAAAGATCTGAATACACGATATGAATAAGTCTCCACCAAGAAAAAAAAGTCACAGTGCAGATACTCAGAGAATGTTGAGCAGCAGCAGCAGCATGTCCTCAACTGACCTCAGTTAGTGAACGGGTTTTGAAAGGCTTTATATAGTGGTAGATGAATGGAAAAGGCCATTTGCAGCCACAGCATGTGCTCCTAGGGAAAGCTGAGCAGCTCATTGATTGGACCCCTAAAAACTGCATGTGAGAAGATTTTGTTTGTGCCAAAATAAACAAGAGCAGCTCCACATGTAATGCAATCACATCCCGTCTAGAAATCTGGGTCTAAGTTAAGGTGACATTTCTCCTCAGAGAAACTGACCCACTCTCTAAAAAGAGTGGAGGGGAAAATAAACAGGGTTTGGACTGGAGGAGGGCTGGCCAACTGGCGCAGCCTGTTTACACCGGGCCGTGTTTACATATAAACTTCAGATGTAGAGTTAAAAGAGAATAGGGCTGCAGAGGAGAGGAAGTCTCAGCAGAGCCTCCGAAAAGGATCACAGACGAGGAGGGGGGAGAGAGAGAGAGAGAGAGAGAGAGAGAGAGAGAGAGAGAGAGAGTGGCAGAAAAAGTGAGACAGAGTGTGAACGGAAGAGGCAGACAGAGGAGGGGGCATGAGAGAGAAAGTTTGTTGGAGAAAGGCAGATAGAAAAAGTGAGAAATCTGATATGGCTGAGAGTTTCTGCTGCCTCCCTCTCTCCCTCTCGCCTCTCTCTGCAGATGGAGGTGAATGTAAAACAGAGTCTACTGTTGGTATCTGGGGGTATCAACAGTCTAGAGTGGGACTAAGCTGTGAGGGAAGTTAATGCCTGTCTGTCTGTCTGCTCAACTTTTCCCCTGCTCTAACACGCTGTACTTTCCAAAATGCTCTTGCTGCATTCTAACACTACATCCTTTATCACCTGGACGGTGTTGGATACCTCTGGGTAGTCTCAGAGACGAGTGGTATACACTGTGCTGCTGGTGTTGTTTTAGCACATTTGTATACCCTATTGGTTTTCACCAGGCCTCTGTATTCTCTCACACCCCATTTTAGATTTGTGAGCTTGGGTGGAGACATTAGTCACAACACACATCATCTTCCATTTAATGAAGCTGGAGGAAAAATAAAATCACTAAAAGCTCCCAGTTCTATCTGATTCTATGCAGAGTGCAGTGCTGCTCCAAAAAGATTAGAACACTAATCTCAAACCTTTTTCTCTTTTGACACTAACAATTATCCCCCTTTGAGGATTGACACTGATTAATGACATTCTGGGGCGATTACATGATCTCATGAACTACAGGTTATGAAACAAGCCATAACCACAAGAAATGTATGTAGGCAGGAAAAGGACCTTCCAAATGTAATAAAATGTATATGATATCTACAGAATAATCAACCTCCTGAAAATGAAGAGAATACCATGTGTTTAATCCTGGTATGAGCACTTGGGGCTCCCCCTATTGGCCAGATAAAAAAACTCTGGATATTAAACTGCTGTCCAACACCTCTGTACATTAATAACAGGGTGAAGGGTATGCTGTCCCAGGAGTTTAAGTTGCTACATGTTTCATTATCTGAGAACTTTATTCCAGTTCATTATTTTGTAGAGCAAGCAATAAATACAAAACGCATATATCCAAAGAGACCACAAAGTACCCATTATTTAATATGATGCATTTTCATTGCTAGAACATTTGCTCAAACAAGCAGACTTTCGGGTGGATTAGGCAAGATTTTTATGTGAATATACACCAGTCTGAAAATCCTGAAAACAAACAGGACTTACAGAAGAGAAGAGCATCACAGTCACCCTAATTGAGACACTTACTCTTCCCCAAATGAAATTCTGGTGTCAGGTACAGTACAGTATGTGCACTTCTCTGCCAACAGAAACTGCCAAATCGAAACTTAAGAGCAAAATACAAAACTTCAAAACAATAGTAAGAAAGCTCTGAGTGCCAAGAAACCCGGACTTACGAACATCAGATCTTTTGCTTTGCTTGCACATTTATTAACCTTCAGTATCAAGTAATTACACGCCACCCAGGTTGGTAAACACACAGGTGCTGTGTGCAGCTTACTGATGTCATGTCACCTGATTCAGATTTCATTTGTTGCTATGATTATACCTTGTGTTGCCAAGGGTTCCTAGCTTTTAGCAAATATACTTCTGGATGGCAAGTGGAATCAATTATACACAAAATTTTGCACTGACAGAATAAATCATGTAATTAGTCAGTGCAGTAGATATTTGACCAATCAAAACCAGGCATTTTGGGAGACAATAGAACATAATACAATAGAAGGACTGTTTCTCTATTCTTCTATAATTACTTCCACTGGAAGATCTTGTGCTAGGAGTAAACACTTCCAGTTTTCAGGGAGTGTTCAGTTTCAAGTGTTTTATATTGTAATAGTACAGTTGATACTGCACTGTGGTCTGGTAAATCCCAGTCCTGAATGTTACCTTTTCATGGTGTTCAATGAGGATCTCCACCACAATGTTCTGGAACTTAAGATCCATGATGGCAGCGACAGTCTCCTCCTGCGGCCTCATTAACGTGGGGCCAAACACCACGCCTAGGTTTGCCACGGTCATCAGATTCTGTTTACTGTTAGCTGCCACACTGAGGAAGAAAACAATTCACATTATACACATTATACTCCAACTAACTAACTAATAACTTTTAGGACCGAATATGACTGTACTAAAGTGAGAAACAGAAACCTCTGATCCTACCTCATTGTTGATGTTCTGGTTAACAATGAACAACACATAAAAAAGGTTCTGTACTGTACCTCTTAATTGCTATTTAAAAAAACTAAAGAGTTTCAGAAAATCAAATGAAAAGTTAAGCAAATGAGCAAACAAGAAAAGGAAGCCAAACATAGCGGGAAATGATAACTATGGCTCGGCTACTGTCTGAGAAAGACTCTTGACATACAGTACAAGTTTTCTTTATGCAAACAGGTGGTAAGTTACCAGATCTCGAAGCATCTCGTCTTGTGATCAGTTTTGTTTGTAGATGGCAGCTTAAACAACAGCCATACTCAGTACATGTGAAGGTATTTGCTGTGTAAAACAGCTCCTCTGCTCTTTTCCCTCAATGATATCAACAGAGGGCCATCTCTGGTAAAAAGAACTGCAGGAAACCCTCAAGTATCTACATATCAATCAATGCTATCTTGATGGATAAGTTTAAACCTTTTCTTGATCTTTTTCCTTTTTCTTTCTTTCTTCTTTTTTCACACATCACAGAGGCACTGAGAACTGTGAATACATAGCAGTCACTGCATTTTGATATGAAATGACAAATAAAAATGAGGGATTTTAACACATCTTATGCCATTTTACATAACACAGAACAGTAAGCTGTAGCAAATCCTAGCCAATACTCTTAAATCCAAATATGAACTTGTCATGCATGAACATTTTGGCCTATACAGTTTCCTACACTGAACATTAAATTACAAATAAGAGTTTTTTTATATCTAGACTTCTTGAGGTTACACATATGCCACTAATAAGACTTACAGATTCAAACAACTATTAATACTTCTGGCTATTCTGACTCAACAACAAGGTAAAAACCTTTGACATATATAACACATTTTATTAAATGTGTCCTAGATCTCTTTTGAAAACGGGACACCTTCAGTAGATGAAACTTTATCTTAGGTCAAAAAAAGTGGAGAAAAAAAACCTTTAGTTGAAAAAAATAAAAATAAAAGTTATACGGACAGGTGAAGAGATTTCACACTCAAAATATGATGATATGCAGTGCATCTGCAGAGAGACAGTTTAAATAGCTTCAAAGGATGCCTTTGAAGACAAAAACATTGGTGACAACTCACATTTATAACATCTCTGAAACCATTTCAGATAGCAGTGTGAAATTCTGGCTTTGCTTCTTTCCCCTGCAGGACATGCACACACGCCAACTTCAGAAAAATATTCGAGTCTCTCCAGTCTGGAGAATTTCACGCTGGATAATCCAAATTCAATTTCAATAGCGCTGCCTTTTTACCAGAGCCTGATTCTGCAGCGGGTTTCTATGAAATAAGATCCACCAGACTTTCACTGCCTCAGGGAAGAGGGATTATTTACTTATCTTCAATTTGCTCATATTTAGTTTATAAAAAGCTTGCTGAGGTAAAACCTTGTAATGTTAGCTAACATTATTTCTTAAATCTTTCTTCCTATCTAATCTCACAAATGGAGTGATGCACAATAGTGCTCCATCCAGGGGTGTGTAGAGTAATCTCAAGAGAGGACTTAATTTGAGAGGTCCATTTAATTTCACTTGAGCCCGGTGGGCTGCACAACAGCATGCTGAACAGGTACGGTAGGCAACACAATCCCCCTTCAATGACTTTAAATGTACACTAAAATGACCTAAGAGAAGGCATAATAAATGTTATGCTAGCAGCATCAATTTTCTTACCCAGCAGTCACTGAGTAGACAGAGAGGATGGAGTGACAGCAGGGAAGGGGGAGTGAAGAGAGTGGGAGTGAGGGAGAGAGAGAGAGAGAGAGAGAGAGAGAGAGAGAGAGAGAGAGAGAGAGAGAGAGAGAGAGAGAAAAAGCATGTGGAGTGAGAATGAGGAGACAGACAGGAAGAGCAGAAAGAGAGAACTGAGAGAGAGGGGGTGGAGATTGGGTGAACTATGACCAAGGAACTATGAACACTCACTTGGCCAGATGCTTCATAAGCAGCCCGAGGACTTGTCGATTCCTCTCCGGTAGTTTGTGGACCAGGCAGTGGATGGCTTGGATGCGAGACTCTGGACTACCGCCCTCTGTTCAAATGCAGAAGCAGCCATGCACTCACATTAAACAAGGATTTCTCTGTGCTCCTCAGGTGGCAAAGAGCCAATGCAGCTGCGATCAAAAACTGTACAACATTAGCAAATTTAAAGAGAATTTAATACACAACTTACACGGTTGATTTGAGCAGTGCACACTCAGAGTTTGATGAAGAGAAACAACAGACAAATGTCCTTTAGTGGAACTAAACCCTCTATTACTTCTAAAAAGGTCCTACAAAAACTATTTGGATGCATTTTAGACAATCAAACATAGAGCAAAAGTTAGTGGCTCTTTAAGGACACAATGATCAGAGGCTAACATCCTCAAGTATAAGGGTTGGAGGATGATACATTCCAGTTTAAGTAAGTGAAGAAGAGGTGTGATAGTGATATATGGTCTGAAGCCTCCCAGAATTTGGCAGCAGGGACCACTATGCTGGCGAAGGAGATAGCTTTACGTTACTGTCGCTACCGTATAAAAGGGTTGTGTTAAAACCCCCAAGATCATCTCTTAAACATTTCCTCACACATGGGCATCTGACCGCCCACACAGCAACACACACACATACACACACTCACACACACAAGATATCATTACTATGGGAACGACAAGGATTTAAACATGGAAAAAGCTTCTTATGGATGCTGTCATCCATCAAAAAAATATTCATTGCTAATCCATTTTTTCCCCCTCGTTATGAGGGCATTGCGAGCGCCTGATAAAAATGTCAACCTGATCCAATTATAGCACTTGTTGTAATACGATTCAAGTTTGGCTTGCTTTAAAAACATTTCATACATAAATGATGTTGCGTGGGTGAAAAAAAAAAAAAAAGCCACGTGTCTTTTTGCTGTTCAAGGTCACTCACTGGACCATTTGAGGGCATGCAAATTACACCATATCTATCATTCTAAACCTTTTAGCTTTAACCTTTGATTGCCTATTTGGCCACACATATTTAGTAGCAGGTTAAAACAAGGCAGAAATTAGAAATAGAAACGCAGTGTTGTAAAACAGTCTGAAGTGACAAAAATGAACCCCATGTGCAAGCAAAACTCATCTGAAAGACTTTTTTGGTCAACCAGAGTGGGTCAGATGTATTCAATGGAAGTAGAAGACATATATATATATATATTCATATTTCTCAACCAAAACAGGACAAGAGTGTCCTCAGATGGTGGGATTTACTACCACACTTGTTAGTGACTGTAGACAGTAACACATTTCTGAAAAGAAGTGATTAGACATAAAGGTATAGCACATTATTATATTTTTTAGTGTTTGAAAGTCTAATGATTAACATTCACTGTAGATACATCCCAATTAGAATTCAAAACACAAACAGTACAACAGCCTTCAGACTATGAAACATTTACTTAAGAGGGTTGACCACTATTACCTTTTTAAAAGAATTGGTAAAAAGTTTACAAAAAGTTAGTAAAAAGCAATTTAACTGTTTTTCACCTGACTGCAGGTTTTCAATAATTCACTGAAGAAGAACAAAGCATTGGACTACAGTGCCTCACATGATTGCATTTCAGACTGATACACATGTTTATACACTGCTGTTTGATTACGGTCTGTATTCAGACTAAGTGGTGGTATAAGAGGTGGTCAAACTTACTCGCAGGGCTAATAAACTCTTTGTAAAGTCCATAGGTCATCAACGGCTCAGGGAGGCTCCTTCAAAGAGATAGCGAGAGAAAGAGAAAAGGAAGGGTGGTGGGGGTTGGATGGAGAAGTGAGAGTTGAAGTGAGCGAGGGGGTACAAAAATAGCCGGCACACTGTTTTATAGGGTCTGCACACAGCAATGATTAATGTGGCCAGGCCAGGGGATGGAATTAGATGGCGCACGCATTGAGATAACCAAGTTCATCTGAAGGTACTTTCACACTGCAGCTGGCCAGTGGCCAAAGGTACTTAGCCTCAGGGGAAACTGAGGAGATTGACCCTGCTTTATTCCAGCAGGCCTGACACAAAGTAAAAGACAGAGCAACACTGAGCATGGTTTAATATAGCATAAGAATATGGATAGGTTAGCTTAAACAAGTGTTTAAAAATTACTAAATGTTGCAGTGAGTATTGTCTGACTAAACACAGTAAAACTCTGCTCTACTTTGAAACTGTGAGTGTGACCGGGTCCCATGACCAACAGCTCATTACATCAAACTGCTTCTTCAAAAAGGGTCAAAGCTTAAAACCAGCCTATCACAACACAGTTTTAACCCTCTTGGATAGGACATTTCATTTACACCCTGATCAGAATACTTGTTGATGGATGATGGCCTAGCTCCCACGCTGATATACATCATTCACCACTTAACATGGAAAATAAGAGAGAAATTAAATAGCTAGATATCAGTCAATAGATATCAATAGCTTTGATACTATGACTCTTTATTTGAGTTTTTGTTAATGAAACTGCAACTAATTATTGACAATATTTTGTTCATAATTAATATTTTGCTTTTCCAATTTTACATTTAAATCAGATTATTTTCACAATTATAACATCTTACAGTGAAATTAATATTAAATTAAAGAGCACATAAATCAAAACTGGTAACTATTAATTCAACTTTTTAGTTGTGCATGACAATACTGACTGATGACAGAGCATAAACCTGAATTGTTTAAATATATTAGTATCAGCCTCTTGTGAGCATTTTCACCAGGTTTTTATGGAAATAAAGCAAACTCCAAACTATAAAAAAAAACAACTTTGCTTTCATTTAAATAAGCAAAGCCAATTCAATTTGCTGCTAACTGCACATGTTTACAAAAACAAATTGGCATTTAAATAAAACTGTCTCAGCTTCTTCCAACCAAACCACATTTTTAATCTTTGAACTTCACCCACACTATCTGTCAACCTGGAAGGAGTTGCTGAATGTGGAACAGGCATACAGTAAGCAATGTGACCTCACAAGGAGTTAATTATACCAAGGCACTTTGCATAATTAACTCTGTAGCCATTTAAAAAAGACAGAGACGACAATGGATGAAATGTTTCATATTAAGTGAACAGAGGCTCTATCATATTCGTCAAAAGACATATTATATATATATATATCTTCCATTAACTACTGGGGGTTTTTGTAGATCAGAAGTAGATTTGCCCAGACATATATCAACAATGAATATTACAGTTTTGTGGCTTATAAGATAAATCAAAAGGATCAATCGTACACCAAGCACAGGTGTCTCTGGACTAGTCAAGTCACATTCTCTGTTTGAATGCGTCAATAGGAGGACAGCTAATTGCGAAACTTAACTTACATCTCAAACTGTGTTCAGGGGTCACATTGCTCAAAATGTAGAAGTTCAACCAAATAGTTTTGCGGTGAGGTAAACAGATCACAACAAAAGGTTTAAGAAATGTTTGACAAATAACAATATATCACTGCTTACTGGGTAGAAACTGATGTTTTTTTTGGTTAACATTTTACAGTTTTGTCAATAACATTGTTTTATTTAGCCAACAGTCTAAAACCCAAAGATACATTAAGTTCACAACCGTGTATGACAAAGTAAAGAATCCTCACCTTTGAGAAGCAGAAAACAAAGAATTTGGGCATTTTTGCATCGATTATTAAATTTGTTGCCGATTCATTTTCTATCATCTGACTAATTGATTAATCAACTAATTGTTGCAGCTCTGGATGGTTTACATTTGTTTATGTGTGTCTTTCACCCCACCAATCCTTACCTTAGATAAAGCTTCAGTGCACTCGTTATTGTCTTAATGTCCCAGTCCTCGCTGGTAGACAGATCCACTTCGTTGCTCGTCTCATCTGAATGAATCACAATCATGAAACATATTCTTACTAGAATGAATGCTCATTGACTGAGGTACCAACACAAAGCACCAGCTAAATACTCTTTTTCGCATTAATGAACCACAGAAAGATTTTGTGGGCAGCCTAGAAAGTCCAAATATGCAATATAAATATGTAACTTGTAATTAGCCATGTGAGGATAAAAGCAGTGCTAGTAGCCTTGGGGGTCGAGTCTAGCCCCAGTGGATATGGAAGGAAGTTATAGCTTCTGTAGAGGGCTGCTGGTTCTATACTCATTACAAGTTTAATTAATCCCTTACTACTTCATTGACTCCACAGGGACTCAAGGGCTGTGTTGTGCTGAAAATTCAGGGGGCTTTAGTCACACCTTAAGTAACCTCTGATGAATTACAGAGGATGTGGAAGTGCAATGTGTCAGTGAAGTGTTGTGAGTTAGACACTTGTACAGTACAGGGCTCAGGTCAACACACAGACTTTAGCTTCGTGGGTGGTAGGTGGTCTGTGTTACTGGGAAATTTTTTTTTTGATTTCATCCAAGCACTGCAGCGAAGACTGCTGTGTTTCTCCGCCTGCTCGGTCCACTCAACGGCCTGTCCAATATCAGCTTCTTAAAGCAAATGTTTTTGTGGAGTCTTTGTAGCCAAAGCTGTGCCTCCGTAAGTATGTATGTTGAGATTGATGGGGTCTGCACAGGCTCTGTAGTCTGATCTAACACAAACAGGCTTGGACTTGGTTAGGTCAACGACACAAAAACACATTTTTGGCAGCAGCGGTTGGAGTAGTGATTATAAAACTGCTAACCACAAAGCAGCAGCAAGTTTCAAGGTGTAATTCTTTGTTATTCTACATTGGTTACCTAAATTAAGCCCTTGAGGACATTAATGCACTGTGTCGTGACTTTAACATAACAGCTAAAGTTGGAACTGCAGCTCCTGTAATACACTTCGATGCAGTTTCACCATAAAAATACATTCCAAAAGAATGTTAAACTAGAAGATTTCCTGACAGACATCACATTTTTAAGACTAAGGATAGGTGGATTGATAAACAGGTCCAATTAGTGTGAAAGTGAGTCCAAGAAAACCATAACCAAATAACATATATTGGATACAACCGAAATAAACAATAGTGTAGACATTTGCAGTAACTGATAAAAGGAACACATGGTTGTGCGACATATGTGTTGTAGGCGAGTTGAACGGTACCACAATTTAAAAAGGAAAAGCTTAAGCAGCTGGTAAAAAGAGTGAGCAAATGTGCCAGCTTTTACAGTCTAGTGCAGTGGTTTCCTACATTTTTGGCTTCAACTTTTTTTTCCTTTCCTATCTTTTTCATCATCTTACGACCCCTTAAGCTAAAGTGCTTGTTAGATGGTCAAATAGCTTCAGAAATACCCACACCTTTCGGATGTCAGATTAGGGGTTCTGTGTCCAACCATTTATGTAACTTTCCGAAACTGACAATCCGACATTCACACCCACTTCACGCCATGGTTGGCGAGCAGGGTGGAGGTGAGAATGAAGCCAGGGTTTAAACTTCTCTCTCAAACTCTTTTTTTTCCTTCTTTACACAACTATTTCTGTCACTTTTCATGTGAACAACCAAATGCAACACTATGAATGTCGTCCAGGAGTGACTGTCTGAAAAAAGTCTGCCTATTAAAACACGTCTCCCCCCTCTCTAGAAAAATATAAACACATTTGATTGACAACATGTTGTACAAACTAGTTCTGTTAGCATAAGCATAAGCATAACCTGACCCTTAGATTTCCCTTGCAACTCCTTGTGGGAATCCAGACCATCAGGAGGAAACCACTGGCCTAGAGGGTACAGGCTGACCGGAACTCCTGAACTCAAAGAGGTGCACTCAGTAGCCGCAGTAGAAACTAAGTTTTTTTTAAAAATTCAAGTTAACCCTTTAAAGTCATCCAGAGTTGTTTCAAGACATTGTTCTGAACAGATATTATTAACAGAAGTTGGAAGCAACATAAACCTTTTGAGCATCTGGTCGGCTCTCTGGAATAAATGGGCCACCATGTTTGGACACATCATCCAGTGTTTTCATTAATGGTCATTTACACCTTAAACCATGAAAATATATAATGTATTGAGTAGTTCTTTGGACATATCTCACAGCAATCCTAAAATTTGCTGCACTCTGCAATTATATCTATAGAACCAAGAAGTCTAACTCAGCAACACCATACACTTCCCTGCCTCATACTGTAAAACAGACAGGTCATAGACAGAATGGAGCTCACTTTTACAGTCTTCTTCCTGTTATATTGTTGCCTGACATTCGATAGGTGCCGTTCTCTTTGTTTGTACTGTAATATGATGGGAGACTCGTTTTCCATCACTCTGTCCTCTCTGATTGGACCATTGCCATGTCGGTGGGTGAGAGATGAAAAGGAGGAGGAGTGGGAGGATCCGAAGTCTTTCTTCAGGGTTTAAAGCTTGCTTCACCCACTCACTGTGAACCGTTGTATGCATGAAATGTTTGTGAATGTGTTGGTTTGTGTAGAAGTAGTACTACCTCTGCCATAGATATTAGTAATTTCAGGGATAAAATATAACTCAATGACGCTTAATGAAAATATCCCATCTATTGTATGCAGCCAATCAGTAACCCAACATTAGCAAGCATTAAAGTGCACGCATCTATATTTTTCCCTCATTCACAATGTGGGATGTCAAGACCACAGATGAAGGCTTCTTTTACCATTCTCAGGCTTTAAAGAAACTACTTAAAAGTGCCGCCGCAGAGTGTTAATGGAGTCTACAGCATGAGTCGGCAGGTTGGGAGGCTGGAAGGTTTTGGAGAGGAAGCTGAGACAGGCTGGCGGCTGCCTGAGTTTGTTGTCATTCTGAACACAGAGCTGAAAGTGAGCTGGTGTCTGCTGGAGACGGCAGGAAACCAGAGAGCAGACAGGGAGCAATGGAAAGGACAGAGGACAAGCTCTATAGAAAAGAAGTTGAGTGAAAGGGATTGAAGACAAGTGAGCGGCATAAAGGAAATAGAGAAAGGCGACTGACGGACTAAGCCAGCCACGAGCACACGAGAAGCCATCTTAGTGGTGTGTTAATGAAGAAAAAGCCAAAAAGTGCAAGGACGTGGATAAGAGGGACCCTTTCTGGTTGTCTGGGGGGATAAAAGACTGAATGGAAGTGAGGCAAAGATACACCCAGGCACCTGTTGCACTTTAGAGAGACCTAGTCCTGATAGGCTGAGTCATGGGCTGATTGTCAGTCACAATCTTTTTAATATCGCACCGACAGACACATCCATTACGTCAGCACATTCAACTAACTAGGGGCAACCTGATATCACAGAGATAGTGCAGTAGCATATAAATTAAAAATTTTACTTCATTCAGCTCTTACCAGCAACTCTCTATGCAAATACATTTCTAGAACAGAAAGAAAGGAATCGACTTTAACTTACCAATCATTAATGAGAGAAGCTTCTGGACCTTGGAGCTTACCCCGACAACTCTGTACAGCCCTTGGTCATTAATACCTGATAAGTAATAATAATAATAATGAAAATTTATTTGCATAGCACTTTTTAAAATAAAGTTGCAAAGTGCTCTATGTGGAAAAGAATACACAACGTGAATAACAAAATAGAAGGCAAACAAAAACAATGAAATAATAAAGAATAAGGAAAGAATATTATATATATATACACATACACACACACACAACAACAACCCTCTGTGTGGGAAGTATACAGCAGACTCATGACTATATCTTAAGAATTTGAACCAAGTTCAGTGAGACAGATAATCATTTGCATATAGAAATATTGAGAATGTTGAGAGGGACTAAACCAAAACTGTTTTTATGACTTAAAAAGAGGTCAGATAAGCATGGAAGCTGAAGCTAATTAATAAGAACTTTAGAGCTATGCAATGAAAGGCATTAGTATTATCTACAATACATGCTGCCTGCAGTATCTGCCAGTCAGCTTTTTGTTTTAATACTGGAGCAAGTCTGCCCCCTTGTGTACAGACCAGCACACTGCACCCATGTTACCTGTTACTATCCACCAATTCCAATGTTATATTTCCCTAATTAGGTCACCTTGTAATTCTGTCAACTAAGCTTTTCAATATTTACATATCTAAGGCTCACCTCTTGTCTCTATGGCGCTGATGGAGTTCTTCACAAAACTTAAACCCACATCATCCAGCTGGGCATCAACTGCAGGTGGGAAAAACAAACAAACCTTGTGGTGAAGTGCTGCTCTCGTGAAACTTAATGACACTTTTTCACAGATACAAAGTCTGGTTCAGCTAGCCTACTTACTTCCTCGTTCTTTAGAATAAGTCCTCCCAAGATAGTGTCCAATCTGTTAAAAAAAAACAACAACTCTTCATTGCTTTCTAAAGTTTATCAAGTACTTAAGCCTTGTGGTATACAGTGAAGTGCACATATATAGAAGTACATTAAACTAAAAAGAATTGCCTTCTCTAAGACAGCAGTTACACAGAACAGAATACAGTAGAGCTACATGAGCCAAGTGTGAGTGGTAGATGATGACATAGTATAGGCGGCTGACTCACAGGGTCCTTCCCACCCATGGCCTGCATCCAGAACTTCTGGTCATCCTCTGACAGAGCCTGTACTGTTAGCACCGTCCCTGGCCTGGGAAAGAGCCATACCACATCAGCATGAGGCAAAGCATTAGAGCTTCAGTACAGTAAAGCATTAGGGCATGTCAGTGTCAGTGTCAATATAAAACATCAAATTTGTTTAGAAATCTTTGGGAAAAAAACAACACCCTCTGCCAAGGGCACTTGCACCTTGGATTTGCAGTAACTACAAATATGAGCCCCATTAGTCATGCCAGCTGGTTTATGAGACCTACAATCATGTGGGACCAGATGGATATCAAGTTACTCATCCCAATCAGAATGGATGTGTGGTCTCAAATTTCCTTACTAAATCTGGGGTATTGCTCTTCTATTAATACTACAGAAAGGGGGTAGGGCAGAGTTAAGTTGTGTGACAAAATGAGGTATCTATTACAGGAGGGCACAGCAGGGTGTGACAAATCCTCCCAGCTAAGTGTGTAAGGGCAGCCCTCCAAGACAAATCCTGCTGGCCTGCCCTCTGCAATCCAAAACAAGGTAAATTGTAATCAGCAATTATGCTCTTTAGCAAGATCTTTAGCAAAACTGTTAAGGTGGAATATCACAGTAAATAATCAATGTGCTCTGTAGCCGCTATGGACAAGGCACAAGAGAATATTTTGCACTAAGTTCAATCAAGAGTCATCCTTAAGAATAATTTCAAATAAAGTGTTTCACTTGTGATATAATGTAAAATGATACCGTCAGCTACGAGCATAATATCATGACAGTGTGTTTGAGAAACAGTTATGTACCGATCTGTTATGTCGAGTTCTAAACAGAACCTCCTGTCCAACATGTCTGTCGTTTTGCGAACACAGGATTTGAGCGTGACAGACTCTATCTCACCCTGAAAAAACAAAAACAAAAAAAAGAAAAGAAGAATCAGCAAAGTGAAAGATCTCACAGAGAACAGGGTTGAGATATCATAAAAATTGTTTGGCATTTATAACCCAATGCTCCATGTTTTCTGACTACTCACATTCTTCCCACCAGATCTGTGGTCGAAGGTCACCATGTGGAGGATCTTCTGCTCTTTGACGAATGTGCAGTAGCGTTTGACCCAACTTGAACCAAAGGGAGGTGGCCCTAGAGAAACAAGGCACAGATGTGACACATACATTCAGTATTGCTTATTGCAGCAGTATCCGGGAAGACACCTGCAATGACAATGTGTGTCCGAGTGGAGCCAGAAAAAAAAGTAAAACCAAAAATTTGCCTATTTCAGGTGCATAACGCTGAATCACTGTTACTGCTGGTTTAAACATGCATTTTAACTTCCATGCTCTGTTCACAACAGGGATAAAAGAAAATTACTAGTCTTTCCAAACTTTCCTGACACAATAACTCTTCACATAACGTTAGATAAAGTCTTTTTATTGTCATTTTCACAGTATATAAAGCATTAACAGCATTTAACATACATGAAATGAAACTTATCCTCCATCCTATATACATTACTATATATATTAGGAGCAGTGGGCAGCTGTAGTGCTTAAGGGCACCTCGGCAGTGCCTAGAAGGTGAAACTGGCACCTCTCCAGCTACCAGTCCACACTCCATACTGTGGTCTGTGGGGCTTGAACTGGCGACCCTCCGGTTATCAAGCCATGACTAAATTGCCTCACGTATGTTATGAATGGTTGTAATATGACATCCCAATTAAAAACACATTTGAACTTTATAAAGGTCTTACGTTTTTCTTGTACATAGAGATAGCCTTCACAACTGATAGGGCTGGTCTGTCTGTATTCCTGAGGTGTCTCCCTGATCCTTTTCATCAGCTCGTACACTTCAGACCGCGCGCCCTCAAATCGACTCCTTGTCTGGGAGGGAGAGGAAGTAATCACACACACACACACACACACACAACAGGAAGTCACTTAAATAATGAGAGGCAAATGAAAATCAAAACATATGAGCTTTTCTTGGAAACCCCTTATATCTCCATGAAATTAAATTGAATAATTAGTAGCAATCTAAAACTGAGAATTAAAAAAAAAGAGTATAATGGCACTGAGTACAGGGGACAGAGTAGGGGAAACCAAAACGATGGAAATATGATATTAACAATTGGCTGAAGAAGTAAAACATGAAGCAGAGTCAAATAGTTGGTGGCTAAATCAAAACAAATCAAAACAAGGCAAGTTAATATTGGACTTGCATCTGACAGGTAGAGAGTGAGGACTCCAGTGGCCCATGATGCTCTGTCTTTAGCTTTAGTGGCTGTGTTAACTAGGAAATGATTTGCTAACAGGTTAGCCATAGGAACATGACTCTGGACTCTGGTATTACACTCAAGACCTTTTCTGTTCTTTGTGTAGAACAAGAACACACAAATACTATACAAGCAGTTGCTGTCATGGTTAGAATCATCCTTATCCAAATGACAAATATAATAATAAAATATTAATATTCCTTACATTCTGAATATTGATCTGCAGTGCTCTTTTATAATGGTCAAAGTCCTTGGCGAGCTCGAAGCCCTGGTGATAAAAGGTGAAGACTGTCTGAAAGAAGGCCAGCATCTAAAAAGGTCACAGGAAGAAACAGATAAGAGATGTTAATCTAAAGAGTGAGCAAGTGAAAGAGAAACTCATATCAAAACACTAAGGCCAGAGAAATGATCACATTATGCCAGAATATGATGGGATTGTTTAGTCATTCTCAAGTAAGACAGAAACCTAGCCCCCTGTGACACATCCTTTATTGCCTTTTGCTTTTATTAATGTGAAAGACAAGCCACATTGGTGCTGACATGCCACTAAGGCCAGTTACTCACCGGTTCCACACACTCAAACTTCTTTCTCTCTTGGATCTCCTGCAATTTGCACACATAGTCCAGTGACTCCTCCTGAAAGTGCTGCCTCATGGCATCCACCTGGATGTCTGCCTGTGGAGGTGGAGAACACACACCATGACGATTATAAGGACAGGCAGATGCATGGAAGCAAAGAAGAAACATTAGGATCTTTGTCATACAGTGCACTTTGAGTTTTTCTTTTTATGGCATTATATTCTTACATCCATCCATTACTTATACCTGCTTGTCCTATACAGGGTTGCGGGCAGGTTGGAGCCTATCACAGCTCACTTTTGGTTGAAAGGCGGGGTACACTGAACTTAGTAGTGTCTTTGATGTCACAGGGCTAACATGTATAGGCAGATGGAACACCCAAACTTACAGCTGTGGGCAATTTAGAGGTGCCACTTAATCTACAGTAATCTGCAAGTCTTTGGACTGTGGGAGAGAACCAGAGCACCCAGGGGGCAGATTTATACACAGAAAAGCGCCTGTTGGTCGGGGGAGATTTGTTTCCTTCTTGCTGTGACAGCATTAACCACTTCTGACCATCTTAGATGTATACAGTCATTTTATATACTATATATAATAGAATACAACAAAGATTTACAAATTGACACAACTGGTAGCTGAACCACAGAGGACAAAGGTCCAGTGTGTTATAATTAGGAGAGGAAATGGAATATAATATTCATAGGTATGTTTTCATACTCGTAAAATTAGGAATTGTTTTGTTTTAGATACTGTAGTACGAGCTGTTTTTATATACAGAGGGAGAGCAGATTGCAACTTCTTCGCTTGAACCTCACCTTCCAAGAACAAAGGAGAAACTACCGTGGCTGCAAAAACCGCCCCCATCTAGAGCCAGTGTTTGTCCCTGCTGGACTACTGTAGAAACATGGTGGGTCAACATAGGAGACTCCATGGAAGGTGACCTGCGGTGTCTATAGATATAAATGGACCATTCTAAGATGAATGAAAACTTAACAATTATTCACTAATGAAAATGTACCTATGAATATTATTTTCCATTTCTGCTGATAGACGCTACTAAATGTTACACACTGAATCTTTAAGTGTAATAAGTGATATACTTTCCTACTACAGAAATACTAGTGCTTTGTATCAACTACTGATAAGTAATTATTTATTCACTTTAAAATGGGTAAGATCGAAGTTCATATGCTGCTTTTCATAATATATGCTGGTGTTCATAGAGATCATTAACAACTGATGCGGTGTTGATGAAGTTCATGACTCCTGTGCCTGTGAACGAATCACAAGGTCTATTTATTCAAGTCTGATAGGAATCCGTGTTGGTACCACAGACCCTTGAGTCACAAAGAACAGAACAGCCTGTGGTCGTAATGTCAACATTTTCAAGTGTCCTCTCTAGTTGGTGTATACAACATATGGGTAAGCCTTACATGGCTACATGGCATTGCTTTGCATGGCAATGCAAACGACTAGTTAAGTGAGAGGTGGTGGTGCAATGGATCACAGTGGAACCGTACAGTCTGACCCCCATGATAACTCCTCTTTTTTGCTGATCCAAAAGACGATCCAATCCGTGACTCAAAACCGTGAATCACTCTGAACTGTGAGTTTTGTGATCCATTGGACCCCTAGTGAAAGGCTACTAAATTCTCCACAATTTAAAATGTCCATGTCATGCTACTGTGGCATGGACTGTTACCGAAAACTACAATACAGCAACCAGGTTTGACCTTGGTAGAACAGCCACAGCTGTGAGTACACATTTCCTTTCCAAACAAGCCAGGAAAACTGTTGCTTCAAGGCACGTCAGTGGAAACTTGGTCCAACCGACTTTGCAGCGAGCTTCTTCCCCAAGGCACCAAAGACAAAAAACTAAAAACAGGGATTCTCAAACTAAACAATATTCCCTTTTCCGTTCGTTTTGCTATCATTATACATTTTTATTCAGCATGTTACATATCTGTCAAGAGAGTTCAGGCAAGGATAAATACCTCTTGTAGCTGTGGCTCTTTCTTCTTTGCTGACATATTCAGAAGCTTTTCCAGAGAGCTGTAGTACTTCTCTGTTTCTTTCTCATACTTCTTTCTTTCCGCCTTAAGAAGGTACAGTGGAAGGAGTAGAAACATGTAAGGACAACAAAGTACTGGATTATTCTTGAGGACAAAGGAATCAAAGCCATGTGCATAGTACAATTCATATACTATTAGCATCCAACTGTAAAATACAGAATTTTTAACAATCATTAGGGTACATCAAGCATACAAACACATCTGCTGAGAGCTATAAAACATATTGGGAAGTGGAAATAAACCATTATACATTACCCTAACTATACCAAGATGATCTTTCCTGAACTTCTCCAGGGGTTTCATTAAGGTTTCTGTGATGTTTCTCATCTAGACAGAAACAGAAGCCATAACAAAGCTTTCATTATTACTCAACTCAATGACAAATCCATTGATATTTCATATGACGCAACACCATTTTCCATTCTAAGTGTCTGTTGACTGCAGTCAAGACTCTCTAGAGGTCTCTAGAGGTGCTGCTTTTTGATTGATGCCCTATTTGCCTTGATACATAAATTACATAATTTAAATTACATAACTACTATTCTAAAAACATCATTGTCTTCCAATAATGTATTAATAATGTCAAAGTATTTTTCCTCATTCCTTCAGTTCTTCTGCTCTGCTGACTGCAGGACATGTCTGCGCTTGCATGATCATCCCACTTTTTCTTACCTTGCACTGTGATGTCATCCCACTTTACTGAGTGCAGTGCTGTGCTGAGCAGTGTGTTTACTATTATGGTCTGAGACTAATGCTAAAACAGTCATCTCAGTCAGCCAGTGATGATGGGCCAACTCCCTAACCTCAGACACTACGGACAGACATTACAAGAGAATGGCTGTTTATAGAAAGTCGCAAGCACTAGATTGTGCATCCCTGTTTAAAGAAGAAGAATGTTTTATGATGTATTTCTTTTGAAAGAAACTAAAACTGACTGCCAGGCCTACTGCTTAAATTAAAACAAGTCTTCAAATGATGAGTTTTAACAAGCTTTTTTTGGCTTATAAATTAGCAACTTTAACAACATTGCCTGATGCAGAAGCTAGTTTTCTGGTGGTATGTTGTAATAGTTTATATTGTCTTGGTATTTAAAGCTTTGGTGTAATAATCTGGATATGCACTTCTGTCCTCTGTGCAACCACTCCCAGGCAGGTGCTGTGACAGTGACCCTTAGACAGGCACAATGGGAGGGAACTGTTTGAACACTATCAAGACTTATCTACCCTTAGGTTTGTCTACTAGATGCTGCGTCTGTACTGCATGTTGGAGAAAATTATGTCACAAGTGCCTGTCTGGATCTCTGGTGGATGACAGAGTTTATACATTTAGAGGCGCATGTACCAAATGTGGGCCATAATAGCTGTAGGCTGGTTGGAAATGCACACAATGAAGGAGTACACAGATAAACAATTCAAGTGCAATACACCGACAGACAGACAGATATATAGATAGATAGCACAGACAGACAGACAGACACAAAGGTATTTCCCCTGGATCTCAAGCAGGTTCTGACTGGTTGTTCTCACCATCAGCTCTCTTTGGTCTTCTAGGTTCTTGAGGAATGAGGAGAACTCCTGCAAAGACTCATCTGAAGAGAAGAAAAAATCAAACAGTAATAAATGAAGTAATTTTGCTTCACTCTAGGCCTCTCTCTCTCTCTCTCTCTCTCTCTCTCTCTCTCTCTCTCAAACACACACACATACACACATACACACACACAAACACACACACACACACACACACACACACACACGGCCTAAAAGACATTATGATTATCAGATGTTCCCACCGCAGGTGCACACCAAAATTCGGCTCTTAATTTACTGGTAGAGAAAGAACCATAAACAAACATTTACAGTGCGTGTGTGCAATGTCTGTGTGGTGGTGACAAAACTAGTGGTTAGTTTCCATCATGTGCGAGGCCATACCCACACTTACCGATACACTTTTCATCATCTGTCTTTGCATCTCCGATGTACTCAAACTGAAACTCTCCCAGGCACTGAGCAAACTTTCGCTGTGCCATACCCAGCTCTGAAATAAAAGATAATCATATATAAAAACCATTACAAGGACTTAAAAGAGGCAGAATTCTTAATATATTATTCTGATTACACTGTATGGTGACATGATCTAGACACACACACACATTTTACTGAAAAAAATTATGCAGACAACAATTACGTACCATGTTCATCATAAAATACTGTCCTACGAAATAATTTGTAAAAAAGTAACTCAATATAACTATAAACCATCATGGAAAGTAGGTCTGCATCACACAGTTAACTACTCTGCAAACATCCTGCTTGTCTACAGTGTGCTACATCCTGTTGCACATCAAACCCTATCATAACATGAGGGCAGGTGCCACAGGTGAACGCAGAGAGCAAACTTTATTAAACTGTGTGCAAGTCATAGCTTATACAAACAAAGATAAAAGAAATAGCATAAATGATGCTACTAATGTATAACCCATAAATTGGATAACCCCAGAATTATTTCATAGGGTTGTTTAATAAAGGGAAATTATATATATATATATATATATATATATATATATATATATATATATATATATATAGATATATAGAGAGAGAGAGAGAGAGAGAGAGAGATTTTTTTTAATTTTCAAGATATATGATAGTATTTAGCTTAACTAATGAAATGTAATGTGATACAATTTCAGTCAAAACTAACATTACATACACAATACCACAAATGATTTTGTTTCGCCATTGCAATATGTAATTTACAGTGTGTAAATGTATATCTATAGCCCTGATGACATACAGAAATGCAACCTTAATATCAGTAAATCTTATATGAGAATGTATTGGCCAGCTGTAACATGGGTGACTGAGATTACATGCTCCTTGATCTGCATTAAAACTATTTCAGATTTTAAGAGGTGGATAAATGCTGTTTAACTCCACCCTTCTCTACACCCCTGCACAATAGTAACCACAGTAAAATCTATTTCCAAACAGTGAAGAGATTCCATGAGAGGGGATCTCTGACCCATGGCAGTCCCCTGGGGAAGCATACAGGGTATTTTAAGACTGGAGCTATGAACAGTATACTGGGGAGCAGTGTCATTGGATGTGGCACATAGCTAGGACCCTATAGGGAGCAATCAACTGAGCAACACCACAATATAGCTGTGACACTGCTGAACATCTGCAACTGCTACAAAGACACTGGAGAGCTAGCTGGAAAGTAGAGCTGCAACTAATGCTTATTTTTTATTATGTCATTCAAAAAAATATTTTAAATATTTATGTCTAAAAATGCTAATAATACTTAAAACTATCTAAAGTGATAGTGATTATTATGGATTTTTATTCCCTCATTGTTGCGGTTGATTAAATATTCGGAATAATTATTAATCTCCTGGGTAAACTATTCTTGCAAATTAGAGTTTTTTGGTTGGATTTGTGAAATTTGTTTGGAAAAAGTCAAGCAGGACACAACTGCAGGCTCTCCCTCCATTGGACCCCAGTTGCGAGCCAACAGCATGCTAACTATGAGCATGTTTACATGCTAATGTTAACATCATGGTAATATGCTAAATGTTTCATGCTGTTTCATCAGCATTTTAAGATCCAATGGTTATCTAATATGTAACGTTATGTAATGTTAATATGCTAACTGTATGCATGTCAACAATCAGCCAGGGTCAAACCAGACAAATGTAATGTATATCCATGGCTATCCTGCTGCTTATGCACTCCAGGATCTCTGACCAGTGTGTGTACACATGCTATGGATTAAATCTGCCGTAGGGCCCAAAGCCCAAACATGTGAGAGGTGTTGGACAATGTCTGCCTAAGCCTGGTACAAAGGGCAACGCTTCTGCCTCAACTGTTTATTGCAAACCGTTTAAGATTGAGCTGAAGACCAGCAGTGGATTTCAAACACTTACAATTCCAAAGAAATAGTCAAACCAAACACCAGTGGTTGATTCCTTCAACTCATTTGTCAGTCATAGAACTACAGGAAGCAAAGGGATGCAAATAGACAATGGGACAGGTTGTGTATCTGAGTATTTACAATTGTTTGTTCTTTGACTAGGTCTTTATATAGCACTTAGAGGAAATGTTCTTTCTTTTCTTGTGGGTGAGGTAATTGTTGACTTTAAGAAATTAAATGTTTAAACAGCAAAAGAAATGCAAAAAGCATTGTGCATAAGCACACAAAAAGCAAGCTCCTTCTCTAGTAATACAGCTTTTTGTCCACAGGAAGGTAGAAAACATATTCTAATGACAGTAAGAAAAACAAAGGGATTAATGACTTGTTTATGGTTCATAACAGCTCATTTCTTGGCTCAAGAACGTCTGCCAGACACAGCACAGACCTAAGTTTAGATCATTAATCAAGAATGGAGAGGGTCTACGTTTGTCCTTTCCCCAGATACCACATAGACATGGTAAACAAAAAATAGGCCACTGACTCTGACAAACAATAGCAGTAGACTGTCAAATCCTCTGACTCTGGCACCTCTTTAAAGACAGTATTTTGGAGAAGTCAGATGGAATGGGAGGAGTAGTATGCAATGCTTTATTATTGTTAGCTCATAATCAGATGTGAGTTATTGCAATAATTCATTAGACAATAATTTAGAGTAGAAAATATATATTAGAGATATATTATAAACTTGTATCAACCACACTAACTCATTTTGGAGCTCATACCAGGAATACAGTACTAATGAACTAAAAGCTTTTCACTTTTTGGCCAAAATGTTTCTGTCATAGAGGTGACTTCTAGCTCGTGTAAACACAACCTGATGAACAGCTATGTGGGACTATGTAAGTAGGGGTTAAGGGCATTATTTTCAAAATAAAGGTATGGCAAATATAAGCCTGTCAGGTCATTATTTTGGGAGCAAACACTGAACATAGCAATTTTCTTTGAAGTGACTGAAAAATCTTGAAGGAATCTAAACCACACAAACCAGGGTGTGCAAGTCCATAAAAGGTGACTCTGGTCACTTTTCTAAACTATAGTCGTTAATTTGCAGCAAGACTGCAGACAGCACAAACAATCCTATATTGGCATGGTCTATAACGAACTCTGTAATCTTATCCAGTCCAGTAAGCAGGATGTAGACAAGTCATACGGAGCATTTCATTGGATTTAGAATCCTATTCCTCTACCAACGTCCTCTACTAGATTTAAACTGGTAGGCTTTACCTATGTGTGCATGACTGGATGCAGGCTTCCAGTGCCGACTGCACCACTACGATCATATTTCACCACTGCTTGTGTTTTTATTGTCCACTTGTCAAACACAATAAGTCTATTGTAAGGTAGAGCCCTTGAGTGGTGAGAAATATACTCACCACCAATGAAGCACCGTCATGCCTTTTCACTTTTATGTTTTTCTTTTTCCTTTCCCGTTTACTTTTTTTTGACAAAGTGGCATGGAGACAGCTTAGCTTTATCAGCATAAAAACCTCCTTACAACAGGCCACTGACATTATATTCAAACAGTGAATTGTGATCTCAAGAGCCCCACATCAGTTCTACAGAGAATGTTAGCATCTTTCAGCACATTAGTTTGGTGTAACTCTCTTGGTTAACCTCCCTCTGCAGTCATCTGCGTTGTTTCCTGTTGCAGCTATTTTCAGCACCACTGCCCCTAAGAGGTTGAAAAAAAATCAATTACTACTGCTTCAACTAATAACGCTGAAACAATCTTTTGTTCAGATTGTTTATGTTTCTGCCTCTGCCCCAGGTGCCTTTGAATTGTGGCTTTACCCAAGGCTTAATCTTAGGCCTCTTGCTGTTTTCCATGACTCTACCTTATCTTAGGGTCGTAATTTTGAAAATATAACATTTACTGTAATCGCTGTAGCTCAACAGTCTTTGTTTGCTCTTCTAACCATTTTTATATCCTGGTTTGACACTAAGAGTGACCAGGTTTCTACAGACTGTGGCTCTCTATGCTTTAAAGCAGTAAATCAATGCCTTAAACGTTTTATAGGAAAGCAATTTCAGAGGTTGTATATTGTTTTACTTTATGCTCTCATGTCTCTACTATTTGTGTCGTTACTAAGCAATCATGTTTCGCTTTTGCATATTTTCCATGCATGCCAGACAAGAATGAAGCTTCAGATACGGCATGTGTTTATGTTATGAATAAAAAGTACACGTCTTGTTATTAGTCGTAGTGTGTGACGTTCTGTAATGAGTTATATTGTTAAATTGAGCATCAAAAACACTAAACCTTCAAGTCTCACCCTAGGCTGATGGATAATCAGTGACGCTTATGGAGTCATTGTTAGTCATTTGCAATGCTCAAAATATCCCAAAACACACACAAATGTAGAGTGGAAAGTTCAGCAGCTCCCCTGGATAGTAAAAACATGTTTTGACAACATTACACTGAACCTTGACACACCTTAACAAAGCCTCAACACACTGTACTGTGTCTGACGTAAGGTTGGGGTAGTACCCAGGGGCAGTCACTGTATTGTAAAAGGTAATGAAAAGCTTATGGTATCATGAAAATCAATCCCATTCTAGCATTCTTCGAGGTGTGACAAGTATCATAGGACTTTTACTGCTACATTGCATAAGATAATTAATCCAAGAAATTGATAGGGTTATTGAATGTTGCCAGTGACTCAGGCATTGCTTTGCCATGTTTTTTATAATTTATTTACCAACTTTGTTTTGAGTTTGTCTTTTTTATTATTCCCATATAAAGGGAAATTTGGTCTTGTACATTTTATTATGGTACTTTATTAGAGTATTAAGGGTATCTTTTATCTCAGCAAAGACAGCATCAAGGCTCAGGTCACTGTGGACAATTAGTGTGTACTCCAAGAACAGTGATGTCAATGGATAGATTTGCAGGCTCTTTATTAGAGCCATATGTGAGCCTGGTGCACAAATCACACCCATCCACAATCTGATTACACAGGCTGCATGCATGTTGAACTCACTGCAGGGTGGACATTTAATATGAGAATATATGAGGCCAAGCTGTGTGGACTTCATTACATAAAACATGAAGAATGAATGTT